AGTGACAAAAACCTCAAAATTTGACAAAAGTGCATCCCGAGACAATCGCATTTGAAGTTATTCATTTTTTTCAAAAGACATTTTCGACAACTTTGCAGTTACAGAATTCGGAAATTTGTGCTCGGTCCGATAGCATATATGATTTGCTCTTTGCTAATTCATAGTGGTTTGTTGAAAATAGTTCTTAATTAATTTTTTTTAATTTGCTCTTTGGGTCCTTTATTTTCCCAATTACTTTGCGCGTGCTCGTATGCTCCCATCCTGACGCGTGTAGACCAATGCATAATTCCTCCGTCCCTACTCACGAGGTGACTTTTTGTCACTTCGTGAGAACATTTTACACTTTTTTTACACTTCGTAAAAACGAAAATCTCGGATTTCAGGCTTTTTGTCAAATGTTTGTTTACAATAATTAAGAAAGTAAACAATATTTTTCCTTGAAACTTGGTCAAATTGTTCCTTGAGACAACTATAATAAAAATGTTAGTAAACCTCGAAATCGAACAATTATCGATTTTCGAGGTTTTTGTCACTTCGTGAGCAAAGCTGTGTCTACGAATCTATTTTGCTGAATGTTTAACTTGATATATGAAGCTATAGTTTTCATATCTTCATAGGTTCATACCTTCCGCAAAAGCACACAATAACTGACTTTTTTTAAAACCAAAACATGGATATGATGACCTTTGTTATTTCCTGAAACAAAATTTCCCCCGTTTTTCGCAGCTTTGTGTAATATAGCGAGGTGATAAACTCAATATTTATAAAGTGGAATACATGCATTTGGAACTTGCTGGAATTTTACTCACTGAGAAAAAAAATCGGTTGAAACCTAGGCTCTGTCGACCAAGATGCCACAGTGAAAACTAGGGACATGCACACAAAACAGCGGATCCGGGGGGGGGGGCAGGGTTGAACTGGGTTCAACGGGGGCCATGCCCCCTCAAAAAGAAATCAACATTCTTTCTTTTTTTAAGTGTGACGTCACAAAAAAGGCAGCCATTGCTTACAACATTATAATTTCGCCACCATTATGCACCGGCATGAAGAGTCCAGGGGCGGAACATTTTAGAACCACGTTTTCGGGGAACATTTTTTTTTTTTTTACTGGTATGTTCTGGATTTGGCCTAAGTTGTATGTACATGGGCGCGAGACCAGAACAAGTACTGAGCGGTCGTGCGACGTGAAACGAATTGTTGATTGCGAGAAAAGAAACAAAAGAAGAATAGTTTGAGAGAGGGGTGGTTCCTCCATCGCCAGTGAAGTTGAATCGGCAATTTGGCGTAACAATTGAATGCGCTAAAAAGTTACGTAACAGAGTGCGCTGTCAATAGTGTAATTCCAGCGTTCGAATTCCTTGGTACTGTTGCGATTGGAAAGAAATCTATTACATTGTTCAATAACGATTATTTGTGGCGATTCTCTCTCAGTCAATTGAGGGCACTATTTCAATTTAACGGTCAAGCCTACGCAGGTTTGGTTTGGGGGTTAAACGTACGAAAAGTAGTTCGCAGATAATTAGCTGTTTCGGCGACGTACTTCGCCGAAACAGCTCGTATTAATTAAGTGTGTTCACATTGAAATTAAAGATAGATTAAGGGATTATTTGCTGTTGTGATTAGAAAGAATGGTAAATAATTACATAATATTTATACAGTGTGCAATGACGATAGGTATGCGTGATTACTTTTAGTTGATTGAGGGCGCTATTCGAGTTTAACGGTCAAGCCTACGCGCAGTTTGTTTTGGGAGTTCAACTTACGAAAAGTAGTCCGCTCAGAATTTGCTGTTTTGGTAACGTAGTTCCCCCGAAACAGCAAATTCTGAGCTCTTGTTAATTGCGTGTGTTCATGTTAAGATTAATAACAGGACCCGCTGCATTTCTTTGATTCTCATTTCTGACCGATTTTTTAGGTAGCCTGAGTATCAGCCGTTATCCAAGGAGTCGGACGTACTGCTGTCTAACGTCTGATATCTAGATTTATCCAGATTTATCCAGCATCCAGATTTATTTATGCGATCTCGCGTATCAGCCAATCGGAGTTGACTTTACTAAATCGTTACATCATTTCATTCCCAAATTAGGACTAAATGTTCGAATGCAATGATTTGTAATACTACAACAGCCGGGCGCGTATCGCGTAACAAATTACAGAGCTGTATTGTTGCTATGTATAGTTTTGTGATGACGCGACAACGGGTGAATAACTAGTCTGGGGGTGAGACGTTGTATACGCAATAACCCGCCGCCGCAAGAAGGCGCTATCACGACCAACCAATGTCGCCCACGAACTTGTCAGAACAACGTCTAGGGAATCCGCTGAAATTCCCCCCCCCCCCAAAAAAATGGGGGAAACTAATGCGCATGCACGACTTCTGCAGGCAATTTACGGTCAATTTTCAGTGCTATGTATACTACAGATAACAAAAGAGCTGCCTAGTGAAGTTGCACAGAGGTGCGTGCGCATTACACAACCAATACGAGTTTTATTATATGTCTATGGGTGCAGACCAGTAAATCGGTCCGAAATTGCCTGCGCCGGCCAAATCGCGATTTGCATGCCCTCAAAATCTTCGGTATTTGAGCATGCTGTGGGCCATGAACTTGAGGGTTTGTAAAAAATATGGGTGGAAGCCGTGCACAGGACTGGGAGCTTGCAGTTCTGTGTAAGGCATCGTTTTTCAAAATGGCGATGCCGCTTCAGGACTATTTTCAGGGGTGATCGTCTTCAGATTGAAATTTCTCCTAAAAGTCATCAGTTGACCCCCCGTAAATTGAACAGAAAATAAAAGATGATGAAATAAGCTTTAATTTGATGTGTGTCTCGAACACCTTGGAGAGTTGTGAGTATTTTTCCCGAATTTTTGAAGTGGGAGCATTTACCATTGGGGTCTATGGAAGTTTATTTACTGGTCTGCTACCCTATGGGCACACCGTGTATTTTAAAAGTGAATGGCGCCCCCAATCGCCAATCAGTAGACTAGCCTCAGTGATTTGTGTTCTCCTTTCGGGGGAAGGGCAGGGTCTTAAGAAATCATCCCGCAGACATATAGTCTTTAATCAACTTGAATGTTACAGGGAAAATATCAGACTTTATTCAGGGGATGTTTTGGTCAAACATTAACTATAAATAAAAAAATTGAGATTATTATAAAAACCACTCCCGCATGCCGCGATAATAGGGAGTCCACCTCCGTTCGCACACTCCGAGCATGTCTATTTCTACAGGCATCGTACACAGAATAAACCACACCACCGTCAGATTTCTTTTTTACCAATTTGAAAAGGAAGAGTTATACTTCACAAAAGACAGGACAATTCGGGAAGGTTAGTGGGCAATCTCTATTCCAAACGAGAAACGTGATAACTACCGCGCTAAAATTGGCAACCCATCCTACATGTTGTAACTTCTATGTGAGCCCTGCACTTTTTTCTACTGTATTTATTACTAAAGAAGTAGATTAGAAAATATAAAGTAGTTATATCATTACACACGTACAACATTGGCCATTGGCTTTTGGTTTGGTCTGGTCTGCAATCTCCCGCGGATCCCTCAGTTCAAAGGCCATCGAAAAGGTTTTTTTTATTCACACCAGAGCTATTTTGATTGAGTTTATGAAGCTAAACAAAGTGGTGATGGAGAGTTCACCGTCGACGAATGTGTCTGAATAAATTCTTCATTTTAAGGAATGGTGGGAAGGAGGTGGTATATATCTTGCACCCTCGGAAATCATTTTTTGTTTTAATTGACGTCCCTAGATCACAAAAAACTGCGTGGAAAGCTATTTGCTATGTTTAGAAAAATAAAAAATTAATGACCCACGTATCTTTTGTATGTAACTTTGTGCCGCCATTTAATACCGGAAAAAAAACTCCTTTCACTATATCCATTATAAGTTGATTTCCGATGGTTGACGATTCTTCCCACTAAAGTAAAACGCATTCCTCAAATGAAGACTTTATTCATAGTTTGGTTCCCAGACCAAAAGATCCCGACTATTCCTGATGAATCATCAGGTAGCCTTCGGTAATACATTGTATTACAATTTACGTCACGTGACTAAAACTGGAGGCATTCCTCCCTTTTCCGAAGTTTTCCGAATTCATTTCGTCGACAATCGGATAGCGCCCGAGTATTTCCGAGTATAATATAGGTTTTAGTAACTGCTAATTGATTATTACAGACTTTACAAAATGAGTTGCAAATTAATATTCATTGCTTTCATTTAGAAAACCTGAAATTCAACGAAAATTTTGTGCATCAAGTATACTCGGATCGTATACGATCGAGGGGCGAACTTTTTGCTGCGTCATGTACTATTTTGAATTTGACGACCGTTACCGGGATTTTCCAAAACTCGGCGTGGTCTCCATTCGGCTCCGCCTGCTAGCAGTGCTATTTGGGTGTAGGACTTTGAAGATTCCAGGTCAACATTAGTCAGTGTTTTCTTACAGAAGTATATCATAACTGTATGATATATGAAGCAAGTGATTAATTTTAAAAATTAGATCGGAACATTAACAGCTTTAAGTGATAAAGCGAATTCGGAAACGAAGCCGAGCTTTGAAAAAAGGCCGTCAATGTCGTCATGTTTATTTTCAGCCACGGAGGCTGCCTGCTGACCTGGAACATTGAAAGCTTTAAGTGATAAAGCGAATTTGGAAACGAAGCCGAGCTTTGAAAAAGGGCCGTCAGTGTAGTCATGTTTATTTTTAGCCACGGAGGCTGCCTTTATCCAGACCCATTCAACGGTGAACTTTTTTGTTACCATTTTGTTCATCTCAATGAACTCGACCAAAATATTTTATAAATAAAAAAAACCGATGGACTCTGAACTTACACCTTGGTCTGTCATGTGAGTGTGATGTGTTGTGAAAATAAAAATAGGCATTACGCGTGAGCGTCGTGACAGCGCTTTGATATTTAAGCGACTGCAGGCTGACTTCTGAACAGTTGCCTCTGAAGAATTCATATTCGAACGTCGCACTTTTTGCAAAATGAAGTTGGTATGTATTATTGGTGTATACTTTTTCAAAACTTGTATAGCTTGATGCAATAATAATACTGTTGATATCGTTGTCTGCGAGAGCCAACAGTGTCCAGCTTGGCTTCATTTATCAGGACTCAACAGAATCCGACTCTGAATATGCACGTGTACGTTTGTACAAGGGGTTTACTGCTCAATCCAACAGGCTCCAACGGGTGGATTCTGTTGGATTCAGCAGGGTTAGGCAATGCAGAGCATAATCCTTGGAGCATCAGATACGTTGTCTCAAAGTTTAACCCAAGCCTTTTGAATCTTTTCCAGGGGGTAGTGGTGGGTCAAGCTTGCAGGAGACGCATGGAGACTGGGGGGGGGGGGGGTTTAAGCGAAGGCGTGCCCCTGCTATAGGGGGTCCTGGGCATAATTGTATTATTTTTGGCCTCATTTTACTAGTACATTGGATCATTTAAACAAATCAGCGGCTGAATAGCACCCATAGATTTGCTCCTGATAACTGCATATTTGATTCTTATCTGCACAATGATCTCATAAACAGTTTTTAAACGAAAACGTTTGCAACTGCTTCAACAAATGAATTTAAAATGTGAATACATGCTCTTGAAATTTAGAATGAAGTGACATGTTAATTAAACATACTAATTTGTGGCTTTTTTAGACGCCGTGTGCCATCGCCCTCTTCCTAACTGTGTTTGCCGTCTGGGGACAAGCTCCGAGCGGTGCAGGTAATTAACTTATCTCAAAGAATAACTGTGACCGGCTCCACAAAAAGGGTATTATGGTCGCAAAAAAGTTATATTATATATAATTGAGTTATATACATGATAGGAAAGCCCACAATGTAAGCTTTCATTTGGTATATAATAGAGCTCCATAGCCCCTCCCGTTCTGGAGATATGACGTGTTTGCATATTAATTACTTCCTTGGAGTTCAAATTACTCAACTGAGAAAACAGGCTTTGAAATAGCTGGCTATGCTGATGAACAACATCAACGATGCACACAAAACGGTTGTTTTTCCACTTTGTTCATCAAAATCAACATTTCTGTGAATGAAACCTAAAACTGTAGGCATTAAATATGACATTCATGACAAAAACAAAATGAAGATCACATTTTGACGAAATTTTCACCCTCTCAATGTTGAGCGGGCCATTACACAAAAAATGCTCAGCGCGACTTAATACCCTTTTTTTGTGGAGCCGGTCACATTAATTTTAAAGTCAAAAGCCGAGGGATTTCAAGTCGAAGAAATCATCCGCAAGTCACTTGATAGGATCACGTGCATTTATCCCAAAAGTAACCTACCGAAATATTGTCCTTACCTGGATTAAAGATCCCATAACCACCCGTGAATTGTTTCCTCTGGTTGCTGCTAGATTTAAACGATCAGTCAATTCACCGATTCGTTTGAAATAAAGAGTTATTTTGACACGATAAGCCTCTGTACTGATGACGTCACACTTTGTTTACGCGTGTGCTTTCCTATGGTACTCAGTGGACTGTGGGTCCCCACTGGCTCCATAGTAAAGTGCACGTGTAAACAAAGCGTGACGTCATCAGTACAGAGGCTTATTATGTTTTATGATCAAAAGGTTGTGTATTGTTTTTCACTATTTTTTCTAAAAGTGTAATATCCACTGAGTTGAAACTTTAACAGGTTTTATGAAAATATTCGCCTTTGAATTTTGGTGTAAATATTGGAAACGAACAAAATGGATGAAAGACAAAATCCTATTTATACCTTTAAAGAGAATAACATTTTTCTTCAAGCTTCTCCATAAAGTTTGATACTTTTTTGATACCACAATTAAGTTTTCTTTCTATACTGCATGTACTAGCAATGACAAGGAACTAATTTATTAAATTCGAACAACTGCTGTTTTATGTGAAACAGAATTTTAATTTTGACTCGGTATTGACAGCAAAACAAAGAAAAATGTTGACAAATACCAATGAAGTTAACAAGAACGCAAGACATTATAGACCTTTATCATGCTGCCACCATTTCAGTCATGTTCCCTGTATCCAATGACAGTACTGAATGATAATGTCTTTGTGCAAAAAAAGGAACCAGACTATTTTTCCTTCCAGCCTCGCTTTGGTTACGTTGATTTGAATGGGGATACATCAAGATGGCCGCAACATGATAATAGTCTATTCTATCGCAAAACAGACCGTTTAGCTGCTATACGCACGAAGACACCAGCTCCTGTGCAAGCCCAAGCGGTGCAGGACTTGATTCAGCGCCTGATACCAGCGAGAGCCGAGGCCTTTCATGTCGTCGTAAATGTCGACATTGGACCGCTGAATGCGGACACTTTTCAGGTATCTTTATTTACAGAATGTATATTTGACATTGAAAGTTCATTTATTTTATTTATTTGTCGTTTTATTTTACCAGGGTAGCCCCATCAGTTATCTAAGACTGTTCTCTCTGGGGGCGCTGGATGAAACTTCTTTTCCGAATTAAACGAAATGTACAATTATATCATTTTCCCTCAAGAGTAGCAGATAATATGTTCACGTTGAAAAAACGTAGATTTCGTTTTCAATATTGTAAATGGAAATAACTGTATATGAAACTTATATACATGCGCAAACTTTACTGGACAGATTGAGTCTGATGGGGTTAGAGTGAACATCACTGGTACCACGGGTGTGGCTGCAGCGTGGGGGTTCTATCACTACCTGAATAAATACTGCAGTTGTCATGTCTCGTGGGCTGGGGACCAGCTAGATGTGCCCGAACAATTGCCCAAAGTGCAACCTGCTCTGAAAATTACCAGCCCAAACAGGTGAGCGACTGTTACAAGTCTATGCAAACGGTACACCTCCGCCAAGGAGGTTATGTTTTCGGATTTGGTTAGTTTGTTGGTGGTTGATTTGTTTGTCTGTTAACAAGATGACTTAAAAGGTTATGGAGGGATTTGCATGAAAACATTGTTAGGGCTGGTCCATGGTAGAAGTACAAATCGATTAGATTTTGAAAGTGATCCGAGTCCGGATCTGGATCCGCGTTTTTTTTAAAAAGAATTCTTCACTATTTATTCGAGTATTATGACGGGGAATTGTTTAGCCTTGGCGGAGGTTTGCCCTCTGAGTGCTTTCTAGTTTGAAAAGGAACGACATGTTATATCGAGAGTTAAAAACTGTAACAAGTATAACAGTTGTGATATTTTTCTTCATGTAAAAGTTGCATATTTTCGAGTAGGCCTACATTGTAACACTGCCCTCAGAATCACTATAACTTTTCATGTCTGAGATATTATGAAATTCTCGCTGTACAAAGTCGCAAGGAATGCCCTTTCATAATCTGTTTGTCTTAATGTGGGCTTGGTTTTCTCAGATTCCGTTACTACCAGAATGTCTGCACTGTCAGCTACTCATCGGTCTGGTGGAACTGGACGCGATGGGAGAGAGAGATCGATTGGATGGCCATGAATGGCATCAACTTGCCCCTAGCATCCACTGCCCAGGAAGCCATCTGGCAGAAGGTCTACCTCAAGATGGGTTTCACCCAGAAGGATCTGGATACGCACTTTGCAGGACCTGCTTTCCTTGCGTGGTAGGGTTGTATGATCATGATATATCAAGAAATGACACTATAGGTGTCGTGGCTAATGAGAGTGGTACGACAGTTTAAGCAGTAAAACGAAAAGAACATATTATTAAAGCTCATTGTTTAATCTACAGGGCCCGCATGGGCAATATTCACGGCTGGGGCGGACCCCTGACGCAAACTTGGCACGCCAATCAGCTGCAGTTACAGCATCAAATCCTGAAGAGAATGCGAGATCTGGGCATGACACCCGTACTCCCTGCATTTGCTGGACATGTCCCTAAATCTATCAAAAGGTGAGTGCTGCTTTCAGCTCATGCACTATGTAACATATATACTTGGCCGCCAGTATCTACATTTTATCGGCATTTGGCCGGTATTGTGTCACTTTGAACGGCATACTGCCTGTTTCGCCGGTTTTGTGCTCATTTTGTCCGACACTCTGCATTTTGCCGATATGGCCGACATTTTAGCGAATTGGCCGCCATAGTATCGTTTTGGCCGGCATAGTGCCGGTTGGGGGGCGACATTTTGCCAGTTTGGCCGGTATAGTGCCGCTTTAGCCGGATTAGTGCCAGTTGGGTTGGCATTGTGCCAAAGTGGCCGGCATGATGCCAATGTGACCGGCGTACTGCCGGTTTGGCCGGCATTGGTGCCGCTTTGGCTGGCGTAGTGCCAGTTGAGATGGCATTGTGCCAAAGTGGCCAGCATGACGCCAATGTGGTCGGCATGACACCAATATGACCTGCATACTGCCGGTTTGGCCGGCATTGTGCCGAATTGAACAGCATATAGTGTTGGTTTGGTCGGTATTGCGCCAGTGTGGCCGTAATAATGCCGTGTCTGCCGGCCTTAACTGGTGTGATCTGGCCGGCAACTTGCCGGTTTGGCCAGTTTTTTTTCTGGTATGCTTGGAAAATATAAATAATTTATTTATAATTCAGCTATAATTTCTTATTTATTTCTGGATATCATAATTTTGGATTCTAATACCATTTCTTGAAAGTGTGTTTCCGCATGCTTTAGTCACACCTCAGCCAGCATGGAGCAACTTTGGTATGGACCCGGAGTATTGCTGGTGAGTATTAATCACCTGACAAAATATGTAAATCTTTGCATTCGTATTTCATATACGAAAACTGTGTTGCATGTACTTTTTTACGGAGGCCAACAGTCCGGAAAAAAAGGTGTCTACATTTCAGCACGGATGTGCAAGTGCCCCTTCAAGAAATGTTTACGCCCTAAATAAAAATGAGCTTGCTCCGCCCCTGAATTTCAAATAAAGTCTACTGGTTATAAAATGGTTTGAAGACTGTCAGCCTGAAGGTCATGTGTCGTATGTTCAAAATTTGAACTGAAGCAGACATTTGTTTGAGTGGATTGAGCTTTTACGATTATCTATTTACCCAAAGTGTACCGGATGCATCAAGTGACATACATTCCAGCTATACTCTGTTGTTTAAAAGTGACGTGTTATTTTTCCCTTCTTTCTTTTCCAGTGACTATTTACTGGATCCGACAGACGCGTTATTCACAACCATCGGGAAAGCTTTTGTCGAGGCTGTGAGTGGAAACATATCACATTATTCCGTGCTGAGAGTCATTCCATGTAATATGCAACATTTGCAAACATTCAAAAAAAAACTACCAAATTATTATAAAATAAACGAGTAACGTAAACGAGTATAAACCATCTAGTCTGGCTCCCTGACCTGACAATTCCCCGAAGTCTATTAATTGCTCCGTTAATTTATAGGGTCAGGGAACAAGACAACAAGAACAATATGTTTTTCTTGGGTTTTCCAGCATCTACGTAGTACGAACACAAAACATTAAAAAGGCCAGTGTAACAATATTTGCTATAAAATGATAACCCCCATCCATCTATTTCTGAAAATAAACGGTTAATGATTGCTTTTCTTTTTAGGAGAATTTTCGAAAAGAAAAGAGGATTGCAAATCTGTCATATACCTCAAGTCAGAACAACTTTTCTAATCATACCATTTCTTTCTCTGGACCAAAACAAAAGAAGTACTTTTCGCCGTCTATAACTAATTGCCCTTCAAGTAATACATTCATATATGAACTGAAAACATGCCTACTTAAATTCATTATTACGTTAAGTTGACTTTAGCCGTTATGTTGTTTATTGTCGTGTCTACTCTGTTTAACTGTTATAATAATAATAACTATTGTTATTATTTCTAAATGTTATAATTAGTTGTATCGTTGGGCACATCCACTACATGCTTCGGCCTTTTGGGATGATGCCTCCACAGAAAATGAATTGGATTAAATTGAATTGTTTCTGCTTACTTTTCAGTTGATTGAAGAATTTAATGGGACGGATCACATGTACAGTGGCGATACCTTCAATGAGATGACACCAAAACAAGGGTTGGTATCAGTGTGTTTAAGATAAAGGAGACTTCGATGGAATTTCTTTTGACAATTTAGAATTGGAAAAAAATCGATGCTTCAGAATTACAATGGCTCTGAAATATCACAAACATGTGTCTAATACGAACTTGGCTTACTCTACAGAAATTGCAACTTCAAACTGTTGCACATGGAAAGGTATTAAGTTAAGGTTTTATTAATTTAGCCGTTTCAATATTTTAACAGTCGAGGAGTCTTTGATAAAAAAAATCACACAACAAAAAAAACTCAGCCTTCGGGTTTTCCCAATTTTGGTCTCAACTTGGCTTATACTTTTACTCCATTATGATGTAGAGATATCGAGTATCTTGCGAGTGCAAGCGAGGCAGTGTATAATGGTATCGCTGCAGCGGATCCCAACGGCATCTGGCTGATGCAAGGTTGGCTTTTCCTGGATGCATTCTGGACACCATACCGCGTGAGGGCATACATCCAAGGCGTACCACAGGTATACATGTATAAAGGAAAACTGTTTTCTTGGGGTTTTTTGTGTTGGTTTGGACTTTTTTTAAATGTTATTACCTCAGCCACAGAGGCTATGTTTTCATCGGCGTTGGGTTAGTTTGTTGGTTGGTTGAAAAGTTATGGACGGATTTGCATGACATTTTTTTAGGGGTGGTCCTTGGGGGGATGCATACCTATGTTCCCAAATACCGATGTTCCCCAATACCGATGTTCTCGCCCTAACCCTGAGCCTAATCCTAATCCTAGTCCCAAGGATTTCGGGGAACATCGGTAGTGGAGAACATCGGTAGTGGGGAACATCGGTATGGGGGAACATCGGGTAGACCCCGGTCCGGGGTACAAGTGCAAATCGATTACATATCTGGAGTGATCTGGATCTGGATGCAGGATTTTTTTTAAAGGATTCTTTACCGTTTATGCCAGTATTTTTATTGGGTGTTCTGACAATTATGGTGGGGGATTGTTTAGCCTCGGTGGGGGTTTGCGCTCTTCCAGTGCTATCTAGTTTTATCTTATTATTATTACGTATATTCTTAGCACCTGTCCTTCATAACGTCCAAATTACTTTTTTGTCAACGCTGAGAGAATATTATATTGCTTAATTAATCTTTGGTTTACTTGTTTATCTTAGTGGACAATGATCGTGCTTGACCTGGCCAGTGCAGAGCGCCCTCAATACAGCCGCTTTCATTCGTTCTACGGCCAGTATTTCATCTGGTGCATGCTGGGTAACTTTGGAGGCAATCATGGTCTGTACGGGAAACTTGACGCGGTGAATGAGGTCAGTTTTCTTTCTATTCGTTTTTCTTTTTTCTTAACTCACAGTTTATTTTTTTACGACTTTTTAAACTTGGAGTCTGACCCTTGAACTTTCACTGTTTTTTGTTTACCTTAACCCTAAAAGGGCCGGGGCGGAATCCCCCCCCCCTCAATTTTTTCTGCGATAGCTTTGAATTTTTTTTCGCGACCCGAGCTGCCTCGAGCCTTGCGCATCTTTGGATACCAAAAACAAAAAATCCCATATACGTAGTGTACACAGAACAGAATTACCATTCGTACATATGAATAATTCCATAACCTTTTGACCTATGGTCATGAAATTCCTTGAAAATGTTCATGATGAGTTGCTCTGTGTATGTACCGAGTTTCAAAATGTTTTGTCACTCAATGGCCGAGATCTTGGGGGGGGGGACGGAATCCGCCCCCCCCCCCCGGCTGAGAGATGGTTAAAAAAAAGGCCGGCCCTTTTAGGGTTAATGGTCATGAACACCATTTCCAGACATTCGAAAATTTAACTGCCGGAAATTAATACTATGAAATATCATACTTGGTGTAAGAATTCTGCGAATATCACTGAGCAAGGTACGTTTTTCTTTGTGATGATTAGGACCAAACCATCTCTTGAGAAAAAAAACCGGTTTTTTTTCTCGAATACTGCCCGGAAAATGATCGAATATGAGTTTAGTTTGCAATCGGTTTGCAAACATCCGTGAATGAAAAGTATTTTCCTGAGTAACAAACTGGCGATCATTATGGTATGGTATGGTATCTACTGAGCTGAGCTTTCGATAGATTTATTTTTTTATGATAAGCCGCTTCATATTGATTGTTCTGCTGTTCCTTGAATCGGTTCAAATTCAATTTTGTTTGCCAGTTGTGTCCATTAATTACCTTTAAAAGACGTTTTTTGTTTCATTTAGGGGTTGACTGCTGCGTATGATTTCGTCAATACAACCATCGTTGGAACCGGCTTAACAATGGAGGGGATTAATCAGAATGACGTCATGTATGCATTTATGAATGACCTGACGTGGAGGTCACAGAAGGTCGCATCCATTCCTCAATGGTGAGCTTTATTGATATTAAAGATTATTGACTTAAAGTTCTCTGTTTTATTTTACTAAAATAAATAAGGATATTTAAACAGGCAGGCATCAGACAAGGCCGACTTCAGAACACATTTTGTTGGGGTGGGGGGGGGGGGGGGTGAGGGCCAAAAAAATCGAACCCCCCCCAAAAAAAAAGTGAGTTAAAAAATTAGGGCGTGGGGTTCGGGGCTCGCTGGGGCCCCGAAAATATCTGGATTCTAAATGCTCTGTGGTGCAATGTGAGGCAATTTCTGACCACTTTGACCAACTTTTTGGGAGAAAAAGATGATGATGTACGCAGTGCCTGCCTTTATATAGTGACGTCACTGAACAAAAAAATGGGTTCGTGGGGGGCATGGCCCCCGTTGGCCCCCAGGGGGAGTTTAGCACCGGAAATAATAATTCGCTTAGACTTTCACAATATGAGGAGGGAAAATGGACCGTTCCGCGGTTTGCCATAAGCGCAAGCCCTGCCCACCTTTGGTTTTGGTACATTCCTCACGGTGCACGTGACTGAGTTTGACGGAGCCAGCGTGGTCACCTGACCAAAATTCGTGATCCAATTGGTCAGCGAGCACTGTTTGATTGACACACACGATCAAGAACAGTCGATTATTTTTGTAAGGTACTCGTTTCGGTAAAATCGGACAAATCTAGGCCAATTTTATTGAACTGGGGCTCATTATGGCGAGTTTTAAAAAATGTTGATCATTTGAAGAAAAAAAACGAGGAGGAAGTTAAACACGGCCTATATACCTCCCCCCCCCCCCCGAAGCAGACCAATCACTCCAGGAATCTCTCCCCAATTTTGATACAGGATTAGCAACTACACCCTCGCTCGCTACGGTCCAAGCCGGTCGTCCAAGGAAGTGCTTCAGGCCTGGGAAATCCTTCAAGAGACGGTCTACAACTGTAAAGACAACCACGGCAATGGTAACCACGGACCCATCGTGCGGTTACCGCAACCATCAGGAATCAAGCCAAATGTATGTAGCTAGGGAAGGCAAATAAATATGAGAGTTTGATTGCAAATAGTCTTGGCCCAAGACGTCAGTAATCAAGAGCGATAGTTGCATTATTGTTGTTTAGCGCCCTTGCATAAGTGTTTTTTCACTTTCTCTCACTAACGACTTGGTCATTTTGTAGCAATGGGGGCGGGGCCATTTTATTTTAATACCGAATTGATTAAATTGACAATCGATTGACCATTTCAGATTTGGTATGACTGGACCCAAGTGGCCAAAGCCTGGAATCTGATGAACGAAGCCACAAAAGCCACCCCGACATCAAGAACAGCAGTCTGTTCAGGTACGCGATACGTCAATAGAGGGCGCATGACATCTGCTGGCATTACTTTTTTTCTAATTTACAGTTTCCTAAAGGGATGAGTATTGCGGAATGGAGACCCAAGGATTTACAATGCAAAAGAAACACGTATACGTAACTGATGCCCCATCCATCGGAAGAGAAACGAACAATATATTGAAGTCGAAGATACTGTGATATTTTTGGGTTTTAAGCCAACTACAGAGGTACATTTCCAATTGGACTCGACTCACGAAACCAGTTCCTCTATTTATGCAGATACGACCTGATTGATGTTTCCCGCCAAGTCCTGCAGGATTTATCGTACCACATGTACCTGAACGTTTCAGCGGCTTACGGCAGGCGGAGTCTGGAAGACGTCTCGTAAGGTTCTCCTTTGTAAATCAAAGATTATGTAAGATGAACGACATGTACACAGATAACCAGACAAACCGACAAACAAAGCAGACGAGAATTGAGGCCATCCAATTGACCATTAGTCCAGCCCACCTTGGTTTGTGTCCATTTTTCACAGTGCTTGTGAAACGAGTTTGACCGGTCTACCGTGGTCACGTGACCAAAAGTCGTGATCTAATTGGTTACAGCGAACTGGTTGATTGACAGATATCCATTGGTATATGTAGACAAAGTACGTGTATGTGTGCACCGGTATGTATAGACTGGTGGTCCCTTCGATGTAGAGTCAGAATACAGCACTCTACCTGATGAACTCTAACACGGGGCCAACATCATTTAAATATTTGCATGCGTCTTTAGCCAATCAGGCAACAGGGAGAAATCGTCACGGCGCATAGCTGCAACCAATAGCATTGGAGAATAGTGAGGCCATTGCCGTTACGATACTCATGTGGCGAGATATCCGTTAACCTAATGGGCAGATTCGATTGGTGGGAAGTTTATTGACAAAAATATTAGCAAACGTCTTCACAGATGAAATTTTTCCATGAATACAAGATTTTTTTTTCTCTCTCCCAGTAACAACTTGGTAAACCTGATGACACTGATGCTGCGTCTGGACAACCTGTTGTCCACTGACAGCCGTTGGTTGCTAGGCAACTGGTTGGAGGCAGCGAAGGCTATAGGAACTACCCCAGAGGTATGGCCCTGTTTTTGGCTGGCCTTGGACTGTAGAGGGGGTATAAGATATGGCGGGAGGGGTGGGATGGGAAAGGGGTAAAGGTCGGGGATACGAATAATCAAATGGATTGACTGTTTGTCCAAGTTTGATCACAATAACCTCATGAAAACGTTACTAAAAAAAGGAATTCAAATTGGCATTTTTATAGCAGAAATCTCAACCGATTTTTTTTGTTCGTTTTCATATTCAGGAGAAGAAGTGGCTGGAGTACAACGCGAGGAATCAGATTACATTATGGGGACCGAAAGGCGAGGTATAGAAAAGCTGCATTACATCCCATATACCGCAACAATGTGCGACGACATTAAGGCCAAGTACATGAATAATTTATTCCTGAATTGTAAGATTCATGCAGGATATGAAGATTATCTGCGATTTGTTATGATTCTAATCCGGTATGAACGAAAAATTATATAAGTATGAACAAAAAATGTACTTGATTTTTTGTCTTCACAGATTCGTGACTACGCAAACAAACACTGGGCCGGATTGGTAGGAAGGTACGTATAAGAATACGTTTAGTCATCATCTGTATTAATCATTTTTAAAGATGGTCGCCTTCTGTCCGTTTTATTTTTGAGATTCGCCTCAAAATGTTTTCAACTGCTTTTGCAATACCAACTAGGTTATTCACATTTGAATGAGTCAACGAACCAAAGAATGAACTTCATGGAGTAGATAATTTAAAAATGTCGATTTACTAAGGGTCTGACAATAGGTCAATTCCTGCAGGGTGGATCTTTCTGGCGTAAGCGGCACAAATCAACTTAGAATAAACGTGTTCTCTTTCCAAAAAAGTTCAACAAAAAAAACTTTAATGGATGAAACTTTGTCAGAAGACATAGTTCTTATCTTGCAGCCCGTGTGTTACTTTATATATTGGCTTCACCACCGAAGCATTCCTAACCCAAAACTTCTTGGACATCAACACTGGATCTACCCCGTAGAAAAATCCCGAATTCACCACTAATACCATTTTTGTTTATGTATTTAGCTTCATTGTGTTACTTAAAAAACACAGGTATAAAAAATTTCAACAAATGAGATTATACACAAATAACATAGCAGAAGCTTGGTGTTTTGCTTAGGTTTTACCTGGAGCGATGGAGTCTTTTTACGACGATGATAGAGCAAGCAATCATGGATCACCAACCGTTGAACGAGACTCACTTCCGAGAAACCTGCTTCCAAGGGATCGAATCGCCCTGGACTCATTCCAATGACAAGTTTCCCACCACCCCTAAAGGTACGATACCACATTGCGCATGCGTCAGTTGGTAAAGGAATGATTCTCTCTTTAAAACAAATGTTTAGAAGAAGAATGTTCAAAACCTAACCTGTTGCAATTTCAACTCATATGACTTTTCGAGAAAATATGGAAGATCACGCACAAGCTTTTTGATCACCAAACGCGATTTCATTAATAGCACTCTCTTTTGCAAAAATCGGTCAATGGTGATCGTTGGAAATTTCACGGGGTGTTGTGAACCAGTATATTTTTAATCTTTAAAAGCTTTTTGACAATAATTCGGTTTGGTACTTGGGATAAATGCAAACGATCCTACATCGTTATGCCTTTAACATCGATGCATTTACCAAAACGTTGTCCAGACGTGATTCTTACCCGCCGTGTTTTGTTTTGGTTTTCCTGTGCAGGTGACACCGTTAGCTTCTCGATAGAGCTCTACCAAAACTATCGGCCATATTTTGCGCCAGGGGAGGGAGATGGAAAAAAGGCCGGTAGCAAGGAGCTGCTTAGCCACTCCTCCGAAATGTACAAGTAGACGGAGTTACAAACATGTCGCTGCAGGATGCACACAATCAAATAATTTTCCATAGACAACAGTGATAAATGCCCGACTCAAATTTGTATTTGTTTAAATACTCAAAACTCTCACGGGTATCCAGGCTGCACAGACAAATGATGACCAACATGTCGTGTTTCAATTTCTTTTGCATTTTGGTGGCTTGACCCATTTTTGGTGGGTTGGGCACCTATTTACCGTTAATGTGTGCACCCTACGAGACACGAGTCATTGCGTCTCATGTCACGTGACAAGTTATTCAAATGAATAATAGTTTTTAAAAAAGACGTTCCTTAATGTGTCATTGTTATCATAACATGGATTGAACATGTGACTGGCTTGGGACTGACTTGTGATTGGCAGGTGATTGACATGTGATTGACTTGTGATTGGCATGTGAGTGAATTGTGTTTGACTTGTGATTGGCATGTGCTTGGCATGTACTTGATTTGTGTGTGATTGAATGCGAAAGACTTGTTGATTAATTACAGCTCTATGAAAATGGCGCCCAAAGGAACTTAATAGGTGTGTACTCCTGTAACGGCCACTTCAAAGTCGTTCTTGAATGTTAAAAAGGTACGAGTAATTTGCCAGAGATGCTTTCAAACTCAACAAATATCGAAGCTCATTACCTCCAAAATTCCAAATTTGTGGCCAGGCTATTGCAATTTTCCAATAGGCTGGGCGCGGGCAAACATTACCGTTGTGATTTTGAATTAAAGAGGCGGGATTCAGACCTGTTGACGTCATGCATATAATTTGCATACATTTCACGGATTTCCGTAATGTATGGCTGCATCCGAATCAGTTGTCTAGAGCTAGGTCTAGGTCTGCGCCCATTGAAAATACGCGGGGACGCGCTGACAATAGACGTAGCCGTAGCTCTGGAAGCCCGTTTCGGACACGGCCTTAGACCATATTCACCGCTAGTTACCGGAGCCCATTTTTGAAGTCCGAACTGCCAAGGACAATGGGGTCAGGGAACCAGACAAGGTAGAGGTAGAAATGACCGAATGCCAGGCTTAGTATGGTCATGACCCAGAGGTATAATAGACCAAGGGCTCAACTGTCACATATGTCAATGGAAGTTTGCAGTATATAGCATTTAGTACAAAGCAATATAAGTTGGGTCTACATGTAGTTTCACGATGCAAGTTATTTAGAAAAGTATTGAGAAGTTTCCACTCAGTTGGTAAGATTTGTTTCATTTTGTTGTTTGATCAAATTATTCATCATAGTTATAGAAGTTAGTGAATTGATTTAGTTGGTAAGAGTGATTATTGGTCAAAGGGTTTTTGGATTAATATGCAGTTATAGGCTAGGTTTATGGCAAACATGAACAAGTTTTAAACTGAACGCAATACAAACGTATTGTTTTATTAATATTACATGTACAATGTATTTGTTTGACCAGTTATGTTTACGAGCAAAATAATTCTGGAATACTGATGTATTGTGATACCTAATAAGGATTTCTTTAATTCATTTAGTGTTTTCCATGGCATTGATAATCAAGTTAGTATAGCCTATATGGATAATTTCCTATTCTTTTATGTTTGTTAATGCATGCTACTTTAAGTTTGTTATTCTTTGTGTTTATTATAGTGAACCGCTGTACGCATAGGCTACGATATACACCACGCTATGTTACATTAGAGTATAGGCTACATGTTTAAGAGAACCTGGACAGAGAAGAATAAAGAGACATAATAGGCGAGTTCGCACTGTGGATAGATACAGGGTGAGTCAAAAAAAGCGGAACCCAAACCCTCCAAAAATATATTTCATATTTAAAAAAATATGTAGCACCAAAAATAATAATGACTGGAAAGCCAATTTCAAAAGCTACTTTTAGATGAAAAAAATACTGAAATTGCTCAATCCGTTCAAAAAAAATCACCATTTAAACGCAACGACCCTAAATCCTTTCTCGTCCAAAAAAGCAATTTATTGTGTGTTTTGACTGTTTGGAACAACAAAGAAAATGACACAGAATACTTGTTTCAAAAACTGTCACCACCTGTAGTGCACAAAATCTTTATTAACAACCCCGGTTAAACAAACAATACCATTTATAAAATCTACTTTTTTTTAAGACGGGCCTTCAAAAAGACTATGTTGAATATTTAAACATTTAAACTGAGATTTTATCGCTGGTGATGTTTAAAGACAATTGTGACGACGATTCTTGAAATCGCATTGTGTTTAAAATGGTGATATTCTTTGAACGGATTGACCGATTTCAGTATTTTTTTCATCTAAAAGTAGCTTATGAAATTGGCTTTTCAGTCATAATTAAGTTTGGTGCTACACATTTTTTTAAACATGAAATATAATTTTTGGGGTTTGGGTTCCGCTTTTTTTCTTGCCCTGTATATCATTCTTTTTTTCGCAGACGGTACACTCCGTTTGCATTTGTAAGGCATATATCGATCACCATTTTTACACAAGTAAAACAATCACCTGAATTCCACGTTAAAGGGGCACTAGGTCCTGAAATCACCGGAAAATTTCATGTTATGGATTGTTTACTTATCGTATTTCAAACATCTGGTTGAAAGGAAACCAACCTAATGTCTTACCGTTCCCGAGAAAAAAACCCGGTTGTTTACATCGGACACTACGGAGCGCGAATACGTTTTTCCTGTCGTTCCCTGTTTGTACGATATACTTGTTTGTCTCGGGAACAGCGGTGACCAATCACCAATGCAAAAAAAATATTTTCTTCGGCATCCGCTAAAGGCGAACACTTTACCAAAATCACAATTAGAACCCAAACAGCTCGACTTTTTGCGGTCGCAAAAGTGGAACCCGAAATTCGTTCTCGCGTAATACAGGAATAACACAAAAAAGACCAGGTTTTAAAGGATAGTTGTGTGGATGTTTTTATCCTATTTTAAATGTTCTTTCCGATAAATATCATTTCGTTCAAAGCGCGTTTTGTAGCCCAATTGGGCTGTTCTAGGACCCGGTGTCCCTTTAACCCCGGCCTCAAAACTGTAAAAGAATCTCCCATTATATTTACACGTGTGAGTTGTGTATACAAAACACTTGACACTGTTAAAATCCCTCTTACGTCACAGCTTACGTCATTTTACAAAAAAGAAGCAAAGTACTTTCGTTAAACACTAATCACCTTGAAAATGCAATATTTTACTTCAAAAATTCTAATACCATATATATATATATATATATATAAGTCTTATGAAAGAAAATTAGTTCTTGAAAATATTTTGTTACATAATTTTTTTTATGAAAGACTTATCATAGTGGTAAAAGTATAGGATCGCACTGACCGCTAAAATAACCTTAAATCTCAATCAAATCCCAGTAAAAATAGAATACAAAGAACCATATCCCGCAAAGCCCATATCCAATATTTAGATGAATATGAAATCAATGTGTTCTGATTAAAATTAATACCCATGACATACACTGAAGCAAAGTTGAACTCAACTGCTGAAAAAAAATCATCACCTTGGCGTAGCCAGGAATTTTTCAGTGGGGGGCGCTGGGGGGGGGGGGGCTGGAACATTTCATTGGGGGCGTCATGTAGATCAATGATATTTTTTTGGAAAATCAAAATCTCAGTGGGGGGGGGGGGGGGCAACTGGGGGGTGACAAGGTTTCACGGGGGGGGGGGGGGCTGTCGCCCCCACGCCCCCACGCCCCCCCCCCGTGGCTACGCCACTGCCTCTGATGTATAAAATGCATCGACCAATCACAGAAGTTTAATATGATATACTAGCCACATTTTTGTTACATTTTTGGAGAGATGTTGTACAACACATGGTTATGCAGAAAGGAGCTTCAGTAACATGCGTTAATCTATTTTTGTTTCATTTATGTTTAACGCAAAATAAAGTTAGTGCATAAACACTCAAGTTACTCCAATTAAGGATAAAAGATAACACCGAATCAAACTACATCATTTGTGATTATATACAAATGAGTTTATGCAAATTTACATTTGTTGCATAGATATTCTGCAGAAATATATTTTGCTTTTCCTAGCAAATATGAAATGACCTGAAAGAATAACACCGTAAAGCTTCAGATAGACTGTTCCTGACGTCCTTTTGAACGCAAGCTTTTAACTGTTTTTCAAACTCTCTCTCTCCAAAAATATCGGTACTTCTATTAGAAAAAAAACTCATATTTAGAATACAAATGCTTTTCAGTTGTAACACGTGATTTCTGCAAAATCGTGATTTTCTTTACAGCTTGGTGTTAAACTCTTTGAGTTTAGGGAGATAATCGGTGTCTTCGTCGGTAGGGAAGTCCTTGTTGTCGTTACCATGGAGACGATCCATCTTCGCCAGTTGGTCTTGAGACCGGTAATGGACGATGCCCGCTCCAAAGGAATCCCCGGCTACGTTCACGGTGGTGCGGATCCGATCCCTGGAGTTGAATAAACATAATCCGTTGAAAATGTGTTAAAAAATTATTTTACCCTCTATGTCCTGCTATACAGATGGTGAACACTGTTAGCAAAGTATGTTTTTGTTTTCTCTAGATCTTGAAATTTTGAAGAAGAATCGTTTTTTTAGCATGGCCGCATGGCAGTCAGTCCTATTTCTTTAACAGCTTACAAACTGTGACATGATATTATAATGAGTACTTATATAAACTGTGACGTGATATTCAAATAAGTGCTTGCTGACATGACAAACTGTGACGTGCATCACATGATATTCAAATGAGTACTTACAGGAACCAATCAATGACGATGATGAGCGTGACGTCTTCAGCTGGTAGGCCAACCGCGTTGAGTACAATGACCAACGTGACAAGGCCAGCCTGCGGAACGCCAGCAGCACCAATACTAGCCAAGGTGGCCGTTACGCTGTGATAAAAGCAATGACATACAAAACTTGAAACCTGTAACGGCCGTTACGCTGTGACAGAAGTAATGAGACTAAGAACATTTTAATGAACTGTGACAGAATTGATGACACACGGAAACGTAGAACCTTTATGATGGCTATTTGTTACGCAAGTATTGCAAGTTTGAAAACAAGTTTTACATTTCGTCCGACAAGACTGACAAAGTTTGATGTCATAGCCCTACCTTTGTTTTATTTCCATAGTTGTAACTTTATTTTTGACGTCTCTGCGTGAAAAATCTTTGTATGAATACGTAGTCAAAGAAATATCTCGTGCCATATACATGAGGCAAGCCGTTTTGGGACAACTTTTTTTTTTAATTTATCATTTTCTCACTCAGTACAAGATAGTCCAACTCTCTACTTTCTATCTTCCGTTCTAATTTACCTGATAGTAATGACAGTGGCCACATCCATCTCCAAATTGTTGACTTGGGCGATGAAGATGGCGGCTACCGCTTCATAGAGGGCGGTGCCGTCCATGTTAATGGTGGCGCCGATAGGTAACATGAAGCGTGTGACGCGCTTGTCGATGCGATTGTTCTGTTCCAGGCAGGAGATGGTCAGGGGCAAAGTAGCCGAACTGGAAAGAAACGAAACAAGATATATTTATGATCAAGATCGATGCATGATTTGTACTTGCTGTGGTAGGACTAATAACTGTCTTTGCATTGTATTTGTTTCTTTAACATTTTTTTCGCTAGTATACCTAGTCTTATTTCGGCATAAGTGATGGTCTCATTAAAAGTGCTTCCGTTAAGATGGTATAATGTAAAATTAGGCCTATTGCGCATGTCGCATTGAGGGTTACAATCCATTAAGCTAATAAAGATGAGAAGATTTCATTGGGGTCCCAAAATTTTATGTGACACCAGTTCATACTTGGCTCGAACGCAAACGCCAATTCAGAGTGATCACCGCAGCTCGGCAAGTAAACTCGCTGCGAATTCGCATTCACAACCCGGTCCGACAGCGTTTCCCACCTTGAGGCAGTAGCGAAGGCGGTCATGAGGGCTGGGGACACGCCCTTGATGAAGGCGAAGGGATTCTTGCGAGTAAAGATGACGAAGAGGAGCGGCAAGACAAGAAGTCCGTGAATGAGAAGACCCGAGATCACGGTGGCCGAGTACAGGCCGATCTGGCTGAAGACCGTCACCCAGTCATCCATGCCGAGGATCTTACCCAGGATCAAGAAGAAAATGCCGATGGGCGAAATCCTGAACAAGTGGAGAGGGAAAAAAAGAAGAAACAGTCATTGAAAAACTTTTACTACAATCCGAAAATTGCGCTGAATTTAATGGAAGAGTAAGGTATTTAAGAGGTACTCAAAATTGATTTTTAGCTGCAGGAAGCAGCTCTAGAAATGGTCATAGCTCTTGGTTGGTAAGTAACAAACTTCAGCAAATGCCTTTTTTGGCAATCAATCACTTTGTCCCTTAGGCCCTCGCAACAACACCTGCCCCCCAATTTATTGCAGTGGTAGAAAATTGGCATTAGAGCTGGCACTGTACTGCACACAAATTGGGTGTTCGACATGATATAAAACGCTCAATGCATCAACTGACGTTCAACAATAATGGGAATCAGTCAATTGGCAGTCAGGACCACGTGAGTAGTTGTGTATTTTTAAGCACAGACTTTTACGTCATGTAGGGGCCTACATGACGTATGGGCCACAGCAGGTCTACACTTGGGCCGCAGCTTCCGAGATCTGTTCATTCTTCTTTTTTTATTATTCATATGTAGTAGGTTTGGAAAATCCCTGATGTCATAAAGGGAATTAAAAGTTCTTTATTAGTGATGACGATTCAGCTACAGAGGGCTCTTTCATTACCCCGCATGCATGCTTTTTTTTAAGGTTTTTTTTTACGTAGCGCTGTTTGGGTTTTATCTTCCGAAATTGATGAAACACCACAACCTTAAGTTTCTTTTCCCAGAGATCATGAAAAACAACGCATGACCTGTGACCAGTCGCTTAAGACTTTGCTGCCACCAACGTCATGAAGATGGTCTGTTTTCTCACCAGATGATGCCTCGCACCAGTCTCATAATGGTCTCCATCATGGAGTTGGCGAAGGCTTTCACTGGTTCCCCTGCGGGTCCCATACGACCCAGCACGATGCCGAAGGCACAGGAGAACACCACCAACCCCAGCACGTTGCTGCGGTCCTGGTACCCGCCCTTGGACACCAGGATGACCTCGGGCTCGGGTGTGGTTCCCATGGTACCCATGGTGGTGCCCTCTATGGTCGTCATGGGCATGCCCGTCATTTCTGATTGGTCGTTTGTCATCATCATTGGTGTCTGAACCGTCTTGTACTATGAGAAAAAAAATTAACGTTTCCTATGGAACTTGGGGTTAACGGGTGGGGGGGGGGGGGGGTTAACTCACTTAACTCGGTACTGTTTATAGAAAAGTGAAGTATCTGCTGACTTTAAACTTCAACTGGTTAGGTTTTAAACATTCCTCTTTGGATTTTGAATGGTGTTGTTATTGGAAACGAACACAATCGTGAAAACAAATGATCCTTTGTGCTTTCAACTTGGTGTGGAACCCATTTTTTCAAATTTCAAATCTGTTCACTTTTGAGCTTTATTGATTTGCAATTATTAATGATTAGTTTTAGTAAAGTTGTTCCATTTTTGTAAGTGGTATTGAGTTTCATAATTATTTCCATAATTGTATTAACTTGTATCATTTTGACTTGTAACCATACATCAACTTACTTAAGGCCCCCCCCCCCCAAAAAAAGTCTCCGGTATCTGGTATGCGCGCGCCTCGCCATAGCCATGCGCGTCGGCAAAATGAAAAAGTTTTTGTTTTCAATAAAAGATGATGTCTCAAAACCGCCAAACTCACTGGTTTGACTGGAATCCTGCTGCTGCACAATTTTAAACGTGTTTTTAGATGGGGTTATGATCGAGAATAAGCTTTATGTGGCCTCTCTGGACTCCCATATATTTGCACTAAGTTTAGTCGGGCACCATTTGCAGTCATCAGCCGACATTTGAAGCAAAAAAAAACAGGTCAAAAAAAAAAAGCCGCGTCGCCGCACCACTTTTTGAGCAAGCTCCATACCAGAAACCGGAGACTTTTTTTGGGCCTGATATACCAGATTTTGGCCGAAATTATTGTCACTCTTTACGAGACAGTGTTTACTTTTTAAGGAGTAAAAACAGGAACATGTGATCGCTATATTGCTTTCTTATTATCTGTTTAATGCAGCGAATCAGTACATGTACTAATGATCAGACTTTAGGAGAAAACAAAAATTTAAACTCATTATACAAAAGATAATAACGAAGTGAATTCACAAGTCGAGTTTAAGAAATCTATAGTACTTTAAATCCGGAATCACGGAAAGAAAATATCTTTTCTGTTGTTGTTTAACAAGGAAATGCGAAAAATATGAGATGATGTGGGCGAAGTTTAGTGAGGTATACTTCTCTATATCATGCTGACGCAATAAAAATGGAATAAACAAATATAATTCTTGGGTGATAGCTTTTAAACTCACTGATCGGAAGCAGGCCTCCACGATATTTGGCGGGAACATGTTCCTGAAATTGGAGGAGAACAAGGAAACGTCATTAATTGTTAGTGTTGCAATAAAAATACCAGCTTGGCAATATCATGTTGACAGGCACATCCTTTATATCCATAATCATAAGCCAGTTATACAGGGTGACCCAAATATAATGCAACCCTAAAACATTTGCCTTAAAAAAAAAGATCTGTGGATTTTTATGTTTTTGGTATCAGATTAAAGCTGAGAGTTTTTTCTTTCAAAATAATGAAAATATCATGAAAATAGAACTTTGGGTTGCTGACAAAATGCCAATTACAAAATGACAAAATGCAAAAAGTTTTCGGTTTCTGGTATGCGCGCGCGTCGCCGTAGTATGGAAGTGTAGATAGGACATGGTTAAAAATAAATCTAATTCGTACGTACGAATTACTAAACCGTACGTACGAAATACTAATTCGTACGTACGAAATACTAATTCGTACGTACGAATTACTAAACCGTACGTACGAATTACTAAACCGTACGTACGAATTAATAAATCGCACGTACGAATTACTCAGTGGCGTAGCCACGGGAGGGGGGGGGGGCGTGGGGGCAGTGGCGTAGCCAGGAATTTTTCAGTGGGCAGGGGGGGGGGGGGCGGCGCTGGGGGGGCTGGAACATTTCATGGGGGGGGGTGTCATGTAGATCAATGATATTTTTTTTAGAAACTCAAAATCTCAGTGGGGGGCGACTGGTGGGCGACAATGTTTCATGGGGGGGGGGGCTGTCACCCCCACGCCCCCCCCCGTGGCCACGCCACTGCGACAGCCCCCCCCCCATGAAACCTTGTCCCCCCCCCAAGTCGCCCCCCCCCCCCCCACTGAGATTTTGAGTTTCTAAAAAAAATTATCATTGATCTACATGACGCCCCCCCCCCCACCTGAAATGTTCCAGGCCCCCCCGGCCCCCCCCCCCCCCCCCCCCACTGGAAAATTCCTGGCTACGCCACTGGAATTACTAAACCGTACGTACGAAGTACTAAATCGTACGTACGAATTACTAAACCGTACGTACGAATTACTAATTATTTCGTACGTACGATTTAGTAATTCGTACGTACGGTTTAGTAATTCGTACGTACGGTTTAGTAATTCGTACGTACGATTTAGTAATTCGTACGTACGGTTTAGTAATTCGTACGTACGAATTAGTAATTCGTACGTACGAATTAGTAATTCGTACGTACGGTTTAGTAATTCGTACGTACGAATTAGTTTTATTTTTAACCATGTCCTATCTACACTTCCATACCGTAGCCATGCGCGTCGGCAAAATTAAAAAAGTTGTTTTTCAATGTCAGATGATGTCTCAAAACCGCCAAAAACACTGGTTTGACTGGAATCCTGCTGCTGCACAATTTCAACGTGTTTTAGATGGGGTTACGATCGAGTAAAAGCTTTATGTGCCCTCTCTTGGCTCCCATATATTCTGCACTAAATTTAGTCGGGCACCATTTGCAGACAGTGTTGTAATTTTGTAATTTTGCGTCTGGAAGCCAGACTGCGGGAGCGATGGTCGTGTATATCTGGAACCTGTAAACGCTTTTTTAACAGGGTGACCGTTTAAGCCGATTTTCAGCTAACTTTGACAGGATTTTTGTTAAAAAACGAGTTTGACAGAAAATTTGACAGAATGGATTTTTCTGGCAGATTTCTGGCAGAATTCTGCAAAAATGGTTATTTGACAGAAAAACAGCAAATTTGAACAAAAAAGTTTACATTTTGTTTAAAAAAGCTTCAATCCTTTCAAACAAACCCTTGCATAATGGGACAGGTTGGCTGGTCTCGGTGCTGAGGTTCACTGGGAAACGAACTTCGTTGTGGCCGGATCCGCGTTTTGCCCAAAATTTACCAATAATTTCACAACATCTTTATGTGACTAGATTGTTTATTATGTAATTTGAATCTTAATTAAGACAATACTACCAATCTGCATGTGATTTTAAGTGTTTATAGTGTACTTCGAGTAATTCTGGGGAATTTGGCAGATTTTTGATAAATCTGACAAATTTTGACGCGCATTTAGTAGAATTTGGCTCTGACCTTACGGTCACCCTGCTTTTTAATCAGTGCAAGCGGGCTAACAAGCCTGGCAGCACAGGCACGATGTCGATGACTCGATGTCGCTGTATGGCCGATCTGGCGTTACCGTTTTCTCTGATTTTTGTTTTTGACTATCCAACTTATCCGAAGAATGTTCGTGTCGGTCGGGATCGTAAGTAGGTGCAGAATTCTCAAGCCTTATGGCCTTACTGAGGTCACCTCAAGCTCCACTCTGAAGGATATTGCTGAGAGTTTTAAGGGGATCGAAGCGTCATCTGCAACATCCGCCGACATTTGAAGGAAAACAAGTAGTGAAAAAAACCCGCGTCGCCGCACCACTTTTGGGGCAAGCTCCATACCAGAAACCGGAGCCTTAATTTTTTGGGCCCTACTTAAATGAGGGGAAATTCCAATATTGACTCGCGTGTATTTTGTTTGGGGTTACGACCGTTAAAGGTTTACCCAGGGCATGGAATGTCAGGCTAGTGTTTGCTAACACGGGGTCAGTGAGAACCCTTTTGCTTGTCAAACTCTTTAAAAAGCAAGTTAACACCGTTTACTGACGCAACCATGGGTTAATGCAAATAGATCTTTGTACTCAAGTTATAAACGGAAAACAGGTTCCTTGGCATTTGTCATTATTAAGCGAAGAATGTTTACAGATTCCTGGTACATGGTTGCGTATCCGGGTTTTAGGGGGGAAATGGGGAAAATGGGGGAGTTATCGGGGAAAAAATTACCCGAATAATGGATGCATTCGACCGAGATGATTGCATGAAACTACAACTAGCCTATAGACCTTTGGGTTGGCAAACTATGGAAGATTAGAGGTCAGAGACACAAAAATGACTAATGGTTAAGCATGTTTCTAAACATAATATTAATCATGAAAAAAAATAATTAATAATATTAATCAGTAGATTGCTGAAAATACAAAATACCCAACAAACGTTATCAAAAGACTGAATTATAATGCCTCTTTCTTGCATAATTAATGAGGGTGTTATAATATACATTTTTTTGCGAAATCTGTTGCTCGACAAGGCTTAAATTTTTGCCATGGAGGCGTCCCATACTGAATGGCGCTCAATATTTACAAGCAATAGAAAGGTCCGCGTCAAACTTTCGAAATGTTATTCAGTAGTCTGGTGGCAAAACTTATGCACAGAAATGTATAGACATAGAGACAGGGAGCAAAATGTTCCTGTTGACAATTTTGTAGCATCAAAGTGGCTATTACACTGTGTCGTACCCGCTCATATATATTTCCTTACAGTGTCAAAACCAGTTTTTTTCGTACTATAAGGCCGGGTCCGATTCATGGCTACGGCTGGAAATTACACACGTGTATATGGAAGTGGCTGCATGCAGCCACTTCCCAATGACGTGTGACCAATGTGTTCTTTCCAGATTATAGACGTAGCCAAGCAATTCGGACACGGTCAATTTCACGGCGCTGCTAAGCACAAAAATTTGCTTAGCACAAAAAAGTCTGGCTTATAAAAGAAGGTTAACAGCCAAAACTCCACGTGATGTATATTGCTCGTGATTGTTTCTCAGCTGTTGTTTGCTTATCATGAAAATCACATGGAGTTTTGGCTGAAAACCTGCTTTTGTAAGCCAGACTTTTTTTGCGCTAAGCAAATGTTTGTGCTTATCAGCGCCGTGAAATTGGGGGCTGGCCAGGACGCGTAATTTTTATTCCTAGGAGGGTTAGGGGTAATGTCATGAATAATTCATGTTTATCCATGAGAACGGACAATGACATCAACAGCATTGTTGTTAGTTACTCAACTAGTTACAATACATTAAAGCATTTTAAAGAACAGTTGTCGTCGAGCTACCACACAGTAGCCTATTGGATAGCGAAATGAGCTATTGATACAAATATCCCTGGTTCGAATCCACGTCGTCGCTGCTCATTTTCATCAGCTATTTTTCTTCTCCAAATTTATCACTGAGATAATTTTAAATTACGGGGAAAATAGAACGAGAACCTAAGTCTTGCAATGATTCAAAGGAAAAACTGAATTATTCATGACATTGCCCCTAAACCTCCTAGGAAAAAAATTACGCGGCCAGGACCTACCTCAGCAAATCCAAGATGGCGTCGGCTGTGTTGACATACTCTGTGTTGCCTGATCGATCGATTTCTGTCGTTTCCTGTCGATTTCCGGGTTGGATCGTCATGACCATGAGAATGCCCAGGGCTACGGCCATGAAAGTCGTACTGAAGTAGTACACCAAAGCCTGCAATTTCAAAAATTGGCAAACTTTCTCACAACTAGTCCGTGGGGTTTTGTAACAATGCATAGAAAATAACAGTCCATACAATTCTTACTCTCTATTTTTGTTTGGGGGTGGGGGTGGGGGTGGGGGCGGGCGGTTGGGTTTGGGGTATTGCATTTTTCTTCTTTCGAACAATAATAAGGCCCAACTTTTGTGTCCTAAATTGACCTAACTAGGGTAGGAACTCAGGGAAATGACAAGTGTGCGAATTACTTATTTAATTAATTAATTGTTTCCCAGATATGTGACCCATCCGATTTTTTAATTAGTTGATGGCTTTTCCAAACATTATCTATCTGCGTGACTGGATATAAGATAAGTAGATGTTATTCTAAATAGTGGTTTATTGAACACTTTTCACAGCAATATGCAACAATGCATGGCAAAATTAAAAGCATGTGCAAAATTGAGCGTTGGGGCCTATTTTGACAAGTGTTGAGATATATCCTGCCATACGACCACACATTTATACTCAAAAGTTTTTAATGTGTTAACTTGACCCAGTGTGAAATACTGAGCCTCATTTGTCAAGTGTTTAATTAACATTGTGTTAATTTTACAACCTAATTAATTAAAGGTACAGTCCATCATTTGTAATTTGTAGATTGTGTTCGCTTGAAGCGACAAACGTGCTCAAAATCTAAAGAAAGGTGCTGAACAACTAACCTGATGAAGTTTCGGCTCAGCTTCAGCCGTATATTTTGAGAAAAGCAACATTCTAAGATCTCGATTTCAAATCGTTGGAAAGGCCTTCGTTCGTTGATTCCTTCAAAATGACAGCTTGCCAGAAAGCATACTTTCACAGGGAGTTTAGTTCCCTTACTATCTTTCAACCAAGTATGTTTTTTAACGTCAGTTACTTTCTGGATAGCTGCAATGATGGACTGTAGCCTTAAAGATGTGTTAACACTAACCTTAAGGCCGAGTACACCAGACATGCTTTTATCCAGCGACGCCATACCCGCTATTAGACTGGACACCACTAGGGGGATGATGACCATCTTGAGCATGTTCAGGAACAGCGTCCCGGGAAAAGCAATGTAGGAGATCTCCTTGGCCGTGAACGTCAGATCGGTGCCGAACTTGATGAAGAAGCCGACCCCGAGACCCAGGAGGAGGGACAGAAGGAGGAGGATGACGAGGAGGTTGCGGCGGAGGAAGCCCGAGCAGCAGGTGCGCCAAGAGGTGCGTCGGCGGGCCGAGGAGGTCTCTGACTCGGCCCGGACTTCCACCAAATCTGCGGTAGCTGCCTCCGTGTCTTTCATCTCTGAGACGTGGTTATCCATCTGATGCTGATGAATTATAACACAATAAAAAAGAAGCAAACTGCTTGTTGACTGGAATGAACTAAATTGTACAATTGTTGAGGTATTAAAGTAGGCCTGTACACTCTTGAATTTCCTGGCCAGATTTCACCCGGATTACGAGTTCAAATATAATTTGAAAATGGAAGCATTTTACTAGTTAGATACATTAGGCAAATAATCAGTGAGGAATGTCCAACACAAACATTGGCATGATGACGTCATTACTTGAAAGGACGCCCTCTAGCGGTGCTTTAAAAATATACAAAACTTGAATTTAAAAGCCATTCGTCCCAATTTCACCAAATTACCCCTAGATATTCTTTGTATAGTCTCAAAGGACTTTGCGAGGTTTCAGAAACATGACGTCATCGGACCGGAAGTTATCGTAGGGAGAATTTTAAAATGATCAGTTTTCTTTCCTTTAAATTCAAAATCGGAACCGGAATAAGTGTCATTAATATAGAAATACACTTAAATATTCATCATAATTTCCATATTTTTAGTTATATTCACTGATTGGTGAACGTTTATCCTGTCTGACCTACAATATTAAGTTTGGACATTTTTACTGATCACTTCGTCAGTGTAAATAAAATGCATACTGAAATTTGTAAAACTCGAAAGGATGCTTTTTTTTGTTCAAGTTAAAACACAATTGGTTCCACTGGAAATAGAGACATTTCTGTTCATAAGAATATTCACAACTTAGCTGGCCAATAAAATAGTTCAGTGGACAAGTTTGGGACAATTGACGATATCTTATCAGTCTAGGGAAAAACTTGTTGATGGTAAAGCATGACTAACTTTTTTATTAAAACGAAAATACACTGGAATTGGCGAAAAGCAGGACTAGTTTAAATCACGGATCCTAGACACCAGGATAAACGACTGTTCTGAGCTCTACTACAAAATGCACTGAGCGGACTTGCCTTAATTGGGTAGACGCGTGATAACGGGCATTAATACCCGTTGGCGCGTAATAGTGAATTTTCCAGGTGTCCTATTGTGTTGGGTTTTTGCAAGACATCTAAAACGGAAATATTCATAAAACTGTAAGCAAAACTACTCCTTATTCAAGATTTAATTGTTCCAAAATTGTTTGAAAATAAATACTTCAGGATATAAATGATGGTATTGTGCAGTTTTTGTCGTCATTGATGAAGTATTTACCCGGGAAATAAACGTCAAATTTCGAGGAGAACACCGTTTACCCAAATTTCGTTTTTAATTAGGCTTTTACTAAAACGTTTTAGAGAGATAAGATGCCGAACCGATGAAACAAAAGCGACATTTCATTGTTCACCTTAAAGCTAAAGATATTGTGCTCAGCATTACCATAGTTATGTAGTTATCACTTATCAGAATTCAATAATAAAGACCAAAAACGTAGACTCATGAATATTCAAAAATATAATTCGCTGGCTTGACAGACTTTCGAGGCCAGATCGGGCGCAGAGCCTTGCAAATCTGAAAGCCACCGCGCGCAGTGGTCTAGTGTTGAAAAGTATTCCTGGTATTTGCCACCAGTACGGGCCGTTATCACGCGTCTAACCAGGAGTTGGGCCGAGTCGTTAATCCTTGTGTGTAGGATCCGTGTTTAAATGAAAGCCGGTCCCATTCCCACGGTTTGGGATGTTTGTCACCGCCAATGGACCCTAGTATTTGTTAAGGTTGAATACAGAATGCTAGCAACGTCAACGAAACTTTAAAATGAAAAAAAAAACCTTCAGGGGAAAGGTATTAACAATTGCCCCTATTGAAGGATCGAATGAAAAAGTGCGAACAACTCCTGGTAAGCATAATTTTTAACAACTTTGCTACCATTGTCGTGTCAGAGGCCAGGGTCGTTGCTTTTTTTTTCAATTCAATTCAATTAACGTTTATTTCCACATAATCATAAAGAAGTACAATAAATATAAACAGATGTGGAGGCACGTTCCAAAAAAGCGGGGCTTGTCAAGGAACAGCCGGTTTACAAAAAAAAAGAAAAAAAGTAACAGCTTCACAATAAACGAATAAACATAACAACACCTATAACAAGAACACAAACAGTGTGTATACGTGTACGACGACTAAAATAAGAAAAAAATATGATTCAATAATAAAAAAATTATAAAAAAATGCTTTTGAATATAAATACCATCCTTTTGAATATAAATACCATCCATCATGCATTTTCCACAGGCAAACAAATATTGCGCAAGTTAAGAATATCATGAACTTGTCATGATTTTAGATAGTTTGAGAGAAATACCGATTCTGCGCTACCTGAAGATTTAGAAAATACCTCCTCTTTATTTTACCGTGTTTGTGCATATTGTCTTTAATATATTGCGTCATCAAACCGGAACTTAGGTGTTTCATACACAAAGCATTATATTCAGATGTTCTATTAATTTCATGATGAACACATGAACTAAACCAATATATCATTTAACTGATGATGTCAGAAAAAAGTAACTTTTACAAATGCATCTAATTAATGCGCAAAATGCGCAAACTCTCTGAGTTACTATACATTGAAAGTAATGTCCATAGGAGTATACAATCACTTTGCAAAAAGGTTTGTTACTGCATTATGGAACATCTAGTTTAAGTTCATTCATCACTGCTGCCATCGAAAATCAACGACTGTTTTTGGTCGGCTCATTGCAGTGTTAACATCTCCTAGGACGGATTTAGGGAAATGGTGCATGGCACTCTCGCTTTGTTGCACCCACATCTCATCAGCTTGCCAGGTGTGTCACTCACACAGAAACACCGTATCAATTTAAGCACATCAATGGTGCAAGTTCAACATTGTTAGCCAAATAACAGGCCAAATGCACTGATTCAACAAGCAAGTTGTTTCCCTACAGCATTGGTGCGTGTGAGTTTTTCATTCATTGCATTGGGGCTGAGAAATTGTTTACAACAAAAACGGAGGGGGGATATCCCCTATATCCCCGGGATTTGTGCCCATATATCGGTATCCTAGAAACGAAAATTTGCTTTGTGGGTGAGAAATAGTTCACAGACAGACAAAGGCCACCCTTTGTCAATGTTGACCCTCTACTTGACGAGCATCAATGTTTGTCGATGTTGTATGGGTTTTGTGGGTTTTTATTAGTTCGCTGGAAACAGAAACACCCTTGTGAAGCCCATTGTTTCTTTGGATGCAATGATTAAAAATGGCCCGCAACAAGATTTATCTGCTCAGCCCGAACAGATGAACAATACATTTCTTTGTGAATTATCAAATAGATATACCTTTGTTGGCTAACAATAGTCACAGATGTAATAAATAACCAAAGTGAGTTTCATAATTCAGATTTTTTTTTTTTTTTTTAAGGAAAAGTGCTATTCATGACTCAAACGAATTACTAAAGACAAGCTTAAGACAGCGGTAAACATTGTATAATCTTGGGTAACTTTCAAAGTAACTTTCAAAGTATAGCGCTTTTAAACAATAAGATAAGGATTATAATAAAACACGTATACAGTCTAATGCACTGAATCACTCAATCATCCTAAGTCTAAGTCAAACTTCACTCTGTACTCTCTGCTAAAAACATAGCCCTTTAAACTAAACCATCCTCGTATTGCTTCAAAAGAGGCGGTCTCTCGGTTTTCACATCATCTAATTTGCAGTTTACAACTTCACAAGTGGACACAAGTTGCCAACTCGCTTTTTGTGTTTTCGTTTGAAGGGATAGCTCTATATGGCATAATTTGCATTTATCCCAAAAAGTAACCTAACTTGTCTAAACACCACGTGAAATTAGACCTTCTGGCTTGCTGTCATTTAGATGTAAATCAAGAAATGTATATTTCCGACGATCTGCCAATTGGCGGTTGTTGGAAATAAAGAGTGCTATTGACGAAATTGGATTTCGTGATTATAAGGCTGTGCACGTTTTTTTCACTGTTTTCTAGAAAAGTCTAATATCCACTGAGCTGAAACTTCAACAGATTAGGTTTTGAACTTTCTGCTTTGGATTTGGAGTGGTGCTATTATTGGAAACGAACAAAATGCATGAAAAGCAAACTCTCTGAACGGACGGTAGTCAGGGCCTACCTGTAATTCTGATCCAAGGCACTTTGAAGTGTCACCAAGCCGATGAAGTGATCCAACTGTCTGTGGGGATGTTTTCTTATGACGCAGGCTGTGTAGTTTGCCCCGACCAAACTGGGTGCGCAGTGACAAAACCCACTGGTTGATATCGATCCGCACAACGTCAATAATGTTTCAAAAGACGACAGGGACATGCCGTCGTACGCGTACTGTACCTGACTCCTTTTTATTCAATTCATTAGGCATGCAGTAGATCGAATTCCATATTGTCCTTGAATGCTGTCACGCTTAGTTGAGGATATTTGTGGGAAAAGCATTGTGAGGTAAAAGCGATTGTCTGAAAAAAACCCCCAGTATATTCGGTAGGTAATGGGAATCATGTCACAGACGTTCGTTCACCTCGGGTACGTAGGCATGCACGAAAAAAATAGTGCCATATCACTTAAGTACGGCAGCCCGTCCGTGCCAGGTTTTAAAAGTATTTAAAAAAAAAAAAATTGCAACATTTTTGCAACATAACACAATAATTTTGCGAAATAAAGCAAAACTTTAGTAAAATAATGTGCCGGGGGCTGAGGGGGGGGGGGGGGATGGAGAATGACTCAAATCAAAACATTGCCCGGCCGTGGAAAAAGGGGGGGGGGGGGGGGGGGGGGGGGGGTGCTGGACACCACATGACACTGGGGGCGCTGTTCATGATACAGATGTATAATGTATACTTACGCCTCTTACCTTACATCAAAACGCGCATGTAAAGCTTTTTTTTTAATTTTTCTCCCTTTCTGGGGACTTTTTGTTCCTTTTTAGGGAGAAAAAAAAAAAAAAAAAAATGAAATTTTACAGTATATTGATTATTTACATTAGTTTGGTTGTTGGAAAGTTAAAAAAAACACCTCAAACGCCGTCATTTTTGGTTTATCACCACGAAAATGTGGGGTGGGGTTGGGTGATCAAATGGCTAATCACCCTGGTAACGAGTTTGGGATATATACCCCCATCTCTCACCCCCCGGGGTTTAGTTACGCCCCTAGCCACAACAGTTGCAGGTTGGGTCTGTTTTTACAACATGTTAGACGGTACGATGCTTTTTCTATCAAGTCGGATGTCCCCAACCCCGTAGAAAAGTGATATCGTGTGCGTGACTAATGAAATAATATAAAGTTCCTTAAATTGAGAGATTCCAGAAGGAGAAGTCCTTACCCAATTTGAAAAGTAACTCCTCCGATCGACCATACAAGGTAAATTGCACATGGGCTTAGCTCCGAGATGCAAATGTCTACCTCCCCGTACGAGGTACGAGCGAATAACACCCGACGCATGGGTCAACTGAGAATTCAGAGGGCGCTTTTTATGTCAGCGCCGTCAGACTGTTACATCTGATGAGTATTGTATAAATATTAATGCAGTCGTCCTCCACGAGTGAATGTACAGCAAACCTACGGTAGACCTAAAGGGGCATCGCATGTCGCAAATATTTCAGCAAATATTTGCGATGTCGCAAATATTTTGCAACTATCTTTGCAAGTATCTGCGATGTCGCAAATATTTTAGACGTCGCAAACATTTTCGCAATATCTGTAAAGAGTGCCTTTTCTCACAAGTGCCCTTTTTTTTACGAGCGCCCCTAACGAGTGCCCTTTTGGAATTTTACCTTTTTTATTTTACGGAGACCGGGTGACTAGTGAAAAAGACCTGTCTATACCTTTCAGCACGCATGGGCGAGTGCCTTTTTCACGTCTAACTCCCACCCCCCCCCTATAAAATGACCTAGTCTGGTTCCCAGACCAAAAGATTCTGACTATTCCTGATGAATCTTAGGTCCGGTAGCCTCCGGTTGTATTACAATTTACGTCACGTGACTAAAACGAGAGGAATTCCTCCTTTTTCCGAAAATGTCGGAAGTTTGCCGAATTTATTTCGTCGACAATCGGATAGCGCCCGAGTATTTCCGAATATAATATAGGTTTAATTAACTGCTAATTGCTCATTAAAAACTTTTTAAAATGAGTTGATAACTAATATTCATTGATTTCATTTAGAAAACTTGAAATTCAACGACGATTTTGTGCATCAAGTATACTCGGATCGTATGGGCAAACTTTTTGCCTGTGTCATGTACTATTTTGAATTTGACGACCGTTACCGAGATTTTCCAAAATCGGTCTTCATTCGGTTCCGCCTGATAACAGTGCTATTTTGGTGCCTAAATTTGAAGATTCCAGATCAACAATTGTCAATATTATCTTACAGAAATATCAAACTGTATTATCATAACTGTATTATATTACGAAGCAAGTGATTTATTTACTAATTTGATCAGAAAATTAAACGCTATAAGTGATAAAGCGAAATCGGAAACGAAGCCGAGATTTGAAAAAGGGCCATCAATGTCGTCATGTTTATTTTTAACCACGGAGGCTGCCTGACCTATTTAGACGTGAGCGTCGGGAATAATTGTCAGGTCTAGGGAACCAGACTATAAAATGACCTCGCTTCGCCAGTAATAACCAATAGCCACAAGTCTTTGGGGAAATTAAACTGTGCACCACTCGAATTCTTCGTCTTTCCCTTTTTGTTCAAATTATTGGATTTTTTTCCCCCAAACAGGACAAAAGGCCACGGCTCAAAATCTGTGACAAATTCCTTCATGAAGAAATTAATAAAGACATACCAAAGAAAGCAATGTTTTTAACTTTCAGCGATGAAGCGTGATCATAGCAACTCTTTGAGGACATTAAACTGTGCATCACTCGAATTCTTCACCTTTTTTGAACAATGAAGGAATGTCTATTAAAGAAAATGTGATAAGCGATTTGGTGAGATAGCAAGCCTGCACTGACTTAAAAAAAAATAATCACAATCACTCTCTATTATGGGAACCGAAAATATGTGCTATAATCTGACTAATCTCAACATCCTTTCATTCCGGGAGAAGATAGTAATTGTATTAAATATTTGTTATCATAGCATACACAATGTATGTTTAATTTAGCCATTGTAGCATATTTTTTTTTTAAATATGATTATAGCATAATCATCTGTAATACAAAGTCTGCCATTAAAAGCTCTGCAAACAGATAATCACAAGGAAATCCCGTTTTAGTTTGGTATAAAAAGAATCAAACACACAGAAATGATAGAGCGGTTACTACTTTTACATTTTTTGGGACTATCTTTGCTCTTTCTGTCGGCATGATGAGTCGGGTTTACTTGTTCTTCGTTCTTCTATACATGTATGGATGCGAGGCGTGGCAATTACGCCAAATAGCCACGGTGGACATACCATACGCGGCCATGTCAGCCGTCTTGGTTGACCCAAGCACCGGATTGTATGACGTAGTGGTGAGTTGTAAACCAATATTTGAATAAAAATGCCTTGTTTTAATATAACACAACTATATTTTATGTGATCGCGCTTTGTATCGGTGTTGTCAGTGACCAGTATAAAAAGAAAGGTTTCATGAATTGAATCGAGATTGAATATTAGTGTCGGTGACGAAGCCACAAAAGGAATTAATTAAATTTGCAATATCAAGAGATTGAGTTATCAATTCAGGGGAACTTACAAGAACCTTTGTTTTTTTCCCCACAATATAGTCCGGGGGGGGGGGTGATTCGCCTTGTAATATCTATTACAATATTACAAAGTGTAATACTTCACTTTCCAAAAAAAATGATTTAACAAGAAAAGAAAAACATTGAATAGCATGTGTGGACACTACCTCAGTTTTATGTCTATTAGTCGTTGCTATCTACTATACATGAGTTTTTTGGGTAAGAAGTCAGAAATTATTAGGATGTTATTCGCATAGTCTGCGTGAAAATATAAACATCCTCAAATTGCCTGACCTTGTCAAAGATGAATTTTATTCTCTCTGAGTTTTCGGTTGAAGTTCTGTTACGTATTGCCCCATAACTTTTTGCCCCATAAACTGTTTGACGACAACACTTTTTAACTCTTTAACTTTTAACTTTTCCTTTCATGTCGTGTGCAGGTGTCGTCTTTCAGCAGTACCCCTTTTTCAACCGATTACGTCTACGTCATCCGTGACGTAGCCGGGCAAATTCAAGCCGGTAACGGTCTGATGACCGAGGTACTGACAGATGAGCTAAAGTGGCCCAATGAGGTTGGCAAAGTTCCCGGTAAGTCCGACGAGTTATATTGTTTCACGAACGAAGCTGGGTGCAACACTTTTGAGCTCGAGTTTAGCTCCATTCTACTTGGCTCTGCCTCGTAAAATGGACCCTTCCATCTGTCTAAAAATGGAACTTCTATTTTAGTGCGGCGCTGCCGCGCCATGCATTGGGAAGATGTAATGACATAATAATATATGTCGGGGACTTATTCAGGCGTGTTATAAATGCAATTATTGATGTGTGGGTCTCAGTAGCTAGATTCCTTACAATGACGCCATTTTAACTCTACTCGTTCTGATTCGTCTTCTTATCAATCCTTTGCTTTCAGAGAAAGTACTTGGTCGAGATGACATTTGGTGGGGAACTTCCGGGTTTTTGGTGCCAACTAAGACACACGGTGTAATCGCTTTGATAGATGCAGGAATTATGGTCCCAGGTAGTAAAAATACACATTTCATACAGTTTTGAGTTTTTGTGAAGTTTTGCCGGAATGATGTAATTTGTTTGCCTTGACAAACAAAATAATGTAGTCATTCAATTTCCCTTACGGCTTTTGAAAAGAAGCCATTGATACATTGATATTTTCAAGGGCCAATGAGTTTTTTACTTAGTAGGGGAATCAACTTTAATGACAACACCTGATAATTTTTTTTTTATTCTGAACCAATCAAAGGCAAGTATTCTTCACGTGATATGTGGCACTTGGGGCAAGTTCGTGCAAGAACTATCGTTGACTATAATTGTTAACCATAGTTCGACTAAAGTTAGCCCGAACTCTGTCTAGTCGACGAGTCGACTATTTGGACCCACCAACTGGGGCTGGTTGCATCGCTGGTAACCAATAGCCGCGCGCATTCATTACGTACAACAGGGAGCCAGGATCCAGAAGTTTTGCGATGACATTTTGACCAGCGTTTGACTAGAGACGTTCGCACGTTGCTATTAGTGCGCAGGCGTAAGGTATGTCACAAATCAACCAAGTCGACTAATGGTCCTTGCCCGAACTTGACCTTAGCTGCTGCATGCAAATGAGATCCATGATGTGACCTGCTGGACAAGGTGAGTTCAACGGACTTACAGATCACCACTTGTTTTCAATCTCACGCCTCCTTTTCTGTTAACCCCGCCCACAGCCACCACCTATGATATTTCCAGCCGCTTGCTAGACCCAACAGACTGGTTCTATCACCGTGTGGAATGGGCGGATATGAACAAAGATGGCCGCATCGATGCTGTCACTTCCAGAGCCTACCTCGATTCAAGTGAGTTGGACGACAGGGGGCGCTGTCAAATCACTCATCGGCTGTAGCACCATAGACAAACTTAATATACTAAGTGAATTTTTTGTTTTGTTTAACATAGTATACTCCGATTCCCATTGATCAAGATCTCCCATAGTATCTCATTGGTACGATGTATATGGTATTGTCTCTTTCTCAAAAGAAAGGCGTGCAAACTGTTTGAACTCTGGAGAGCGCCCTACAGACACCCTAATTTCATAGAATGGGCAGATACCTTAAACATTAAAAAGTAACAGAAAATACATAGAAAATGCCGCAAGTAGGGAAACCCATATTTGGATAAAAGGGGTTTATTACCATTGAGTTTTTATCAAAATGTTATAAAACCAGAACCTCCGAACTCGGGCTGATTTAAAAACTTTTTGTTCGGCAGATGGCCAAGCAGTAGCAGAAATGGTCTGGTTCGAGCAGCCGAGGTTCGGTAATCCCCTGTACGGAACATGGTCGGAGCATGTCATGTACCCCGGACCGGACGCACTGACGCGCTTCGGCCGGTTGACCGTGTCCGACGGCCGGGAGTTGGAGGTTATCATCAGCGCTCAGTACTTCACGGAGAAGCTCGTCGTCTCCTGGGTCGAGGGTAACAAAAACCATGAACCACTTCAAGATGCACACTATTTGTTTTCCACTGAAATTGAGATCATTAAAATGTAAAAAGTTGATAACTGTTACTGCGTATCGCATTTTTGCAGCCATTTTGTTTTTCGCGCTCTTGATGGGGTGTTTGTGAGTTTGTTTGTTTGTCTTTTTTTTTTAGGACCGACATCAAGTTGGGATGACCCGTCTTCCATTCAGCATAGAGTTATTTCAGATGTAGTTAACGAACGCTACTTTGATATTCAGGTTTGTTATGAGAGCATGCAATATTTTTATTTTATCAATTTCCCGTTGACTTGCCTCAGACTTCTTAAAATCTTTCCACGCGCTAGATATCCGCGCTTCTCTTATAGCGAGATCAGGCAGCAAAAGAAGGAGAGGCTCTCAGGGACATTTCAACATATACAAGAATAATCTTGAATAGCTACTGCCGGCCCTGTTCTTCAAATCCATCTACACTTGTTTTCAGTAATTTTAATAAAAAATGAAACTCAGCCTATTTTATTCGTCGCATTTGGTTTTGTGCTCGATGGAATTCGAGTTTAAGGATAGTTTCAGTTCTTTCTTGATTCATTTACACACTTGACAGTGCTGGTTTTTTTTGTTTCCATTATACATACAGCTAGTGGATCTAAATATAGATGGCAACGTGGACTTACTAGTTTCTGTCAATAGGTGAGAAATTGAAGAAGTATTTTCTTCCTTATGCCAGAACTATTCACTCTTTGATTTATCACAATTTGTTTTAATTGATCATCAAGGTAAAAGGATCAACTATCAACCTTTTAACATATTTTTTATTCTTTATTATACACATAGTAATCAAAACGGGAAGCTTTTAGCCTATGAGATTCCGCGAGATTTCCGCACGGGAGCGTGGAGGCGCCATCTGATCGTGGAGGGATTCATCCCCAATGTTGACGTCATCACCGAGGGTCATGGGTCACCGGGGTCCGCCTTCGCATTCTACCCGGGACCGCCGGGTCAAAGGTCGGTCAGATTTCCCTCTAGCGCCCTCTGTCGATTTGAATCATAATTACCTACTGAGTTCAAAGGATTGGAAGATAAATGGCTTTTGTGTCATACTGTCCCCGCAGTTTGTCTTTCTTTTCAAACATCTCGGCAAAAATGCAGACTGCCCCGCCCCCCCCCCAAAAAAAAGGAGTTACCGGGCACCAGCTGACTTGAAGAGTTTGTGGTCGTACTTGTGCCCAACTGAGGGCGCTGTTTATTAATATATCCGTGTTCACATTAGATGTACCATGGCGGAAGAAACAGCCATGGATGTACACAGAAAACCATACGTGTATCACTTTTGTTTTTGAAATTGTGCATTTTTGCAATTGTGAATTTTTTGAAATTGTGCATATTTTATGCCGGTGGTGGTGGTGGTGGTGGGGTGGTGGGGGGGGGGGGGGGGGGTTAATCAGTATGACAATTTATTCAGTTAAAGTTGCTTTTAGTTTTGTTCCCTTCCCATTCGCTCGTACCCCCCACCATGCAAACAGGGCGCAGGGAAGGGCAGATGAGCTTCACAGAACCTTGTGAAGGAAGCGGGGATGGCATTCTGGGTAATTTATCATGACCTATGTATAAAGCATCTGGCTGCAGCTGTAGACCGCGGTTGGCCAATGCGTGCAAATACTATCCGAAAAGTTTGCCATAGAAATGCATACACACCATACCGGATGTGATTTCTTTTCATTGCGGACCATGTGGACACAATTTTGAGCGTCGAATCATAGGCACTTCGTCGACCCTTCGTGAATTCAAAACGGAATTTAGCAACTAAAGGGAGTTGAACATTTACAAAAACAGATAAGTTATACAGATTTTCTATTATGCTTTTCAACCAAAAAAAAGGCGCCGCATTTATGAATGGGAATTAAAAGAGTGACGAATGACTCCGTCTTAACGGCCGTTGTTTCAAACCTTGCAGGGTCGTGGCCGTGATGACTTGCAGGTCACAGGTCACGCAAAATCTATCCAATCAGAGTGTTAATTCGTCAGCCCTTCCCAGCATCCTGTTTGCAGGGCGGGGGTACGAGCGAACCCTTCCCAAAGTGGCGTCGCTACAACCGTACGCCCCCAACGTCTAAGGCCTAAGTCATGACACAAGTTTATTGAAGGCTACTTTTGCTTCATCTCGACAGAATCAAGCCGCTGATTCTTCTGACGGGCGATGACGACAGCAACGTGTATATCTTGGAGAGTACGATCGACAACGATCCGTCCGTGTGGAGCTACACCATGACATCGGTCTTCTACGCCGAGGGGACGGTAGGCAGCCCGGCCATTCAGGACATCGACGGGGACGGTTTCCCGGAACTCTTCATCCCTGCTTGGACTCAAGGCACGCTAAGTGTCTATACATTTAAAGACATATAGGATCATTAGCTTTTCAAGGAATTTGTTCGCTTCCAATAATAACACCACTCAAAATCCAAAAACGAATGCTCAAAGCCTAACCTGATGAAGTTTCAGCTCAGTGGATATTACACCTTTCGAGAAAATAGTGCAAAACCGAGCACGATCTTTTTGTTTTGATCACGAAACACGTTGTCGTCAATGGTACTCTTTATAATATTATTATTGAATATATTATTGTTTCCAAATAACAGTTAATTGACTGATTGTTGGAAATCGCCTACATATCTTGATTTCTTCTAAATGACAGCAAGCCAGACTGAATAATTACTCGAGGTGTTAATATATTACCAATACGATCAAGTAAGCTTTTTGGATAATATTTGTTTATTTGGTAGGTTACTTTTGGGATAAATGCAAACGATCCCATGTCTTGGAGCCTGGCTACAGGGATCTCTCAACCCCACACACAAACAAAGGAAGAGAAGAAGGAAACCAGACATGGGCAATTTGCTAAAATTTATTATCACCTCTGTGGGCTGATCACAACTTTTGGAGACTTCCCCTGTTGTTTTTTTATTCGCTCTCTGACAATTTCCTTGTTATTCCGAAGTGTATTGACGGGTTAAATAAATAAACACCTCGATAAACACCTCGAAACTACGTCAGGAAGAATATGGCATTGTGAATTTACATGCTGTATCTTACAGAATATTACATTTCAGATCACTTTGTACATGGTCAGACCTGTGTGTTAAATGTTATTGTACACTTCACATTAAAGAAGCTGATTGCGTCAGATGACGTCATCTGACGTCATCATATATCAAATTACAAGCGATTTTAGATCAAAAGTGACCACGCTGTTTCAGTCATGACTCATCTAACAAAAACTAGAACCGTGTTCACATTTTGTGGTCCGACTGATCATGCCTCTATGACAAGTGTTGTCATGTTCGTGAAGTTACTTGACCTTTACTTCCGGGGTTGCGGAAGGTCAAACTTAGATGAGATTAAATACGTGTACACCGACAAGAGCGTCAACGTTAAAACAAACGGAATTTCTTCCAAACGGTTCAAGAGATGATGATGGAACCATGTACAGACATGAACCCTTGTCCAAAGAAAAAGGAAACTTTGGTGACGTCATCATGACGTCATCAAATTACGAGCCATTAAGGGGTCAAACTAGACATAATACCCCTGGCCACACACAAGCCACAGAGACAAACAAAACAAAACATTGGCAATAGGCTTAATTATCCCCTCTACATCCCTTTATTTCGACACTTCCCCTCAACTTTTGTTATGCACTCTCTGGTAATTTCCTTCAAACTCTCATAAAGTAATGAGTTACCCAGAAGTGTTGATTTGTTAAAGGGGCATGACGGCCTGAAATCCCGGAAAATGTTTGGATTATTCACTTATCTTGTTTGAAAAGTCTGGTTGAAAGGAAACTATAATGTCTTACCGTTCCCAAGGAAAGACGGGAAAACCAGGTTGTTTACATCGGACGCGGCGGACATTTATTTTTCATAAGCATACGTATTTCCAGCCGTGTTCATTCAATGTACGGTACACGTTATGCGCTGGTGTGTGTGTCACATAATACACAAAGCGCCAATACACAAATGTGGTTTATTGCACGTCCGCAGAATGCGATGAACTGAATGCGGCAGGATTCACAACTAGCACTCAGCAGCTCGATTTTTGAGAGTCAAAATGTTGACTCCCGAAATGCGTTCTCGCATGGTCGCAAGAATAACACAAAACGCCCATTTTTTTTTTAAGAATGCTTGTGTGGACGTTTATATCTTCCTTTTAAATGCCCTTTCCAATAGTTAATATCGTTTCTTTTAAAATGCGTTTTGTAGCCCAATTGGGCGCATTCCAAGACGTAATGTTCCTTAATGTATTTTTTTCTGAGGGGATAAAAAGAAATGAAATTTTATTAAGCCGAAGTATTTTGGTTAAATTTAAAAAACCTCGATATTATGAAAAAACAAAATCTGATTGTGACTTTACATGCTGGATCAGGCATCTGCACTTTGTTCATGTTTAGGCATGCACGTGACCTTTATGTTACATTTTATGGTACTTTTACATTATTTGAAGACCTGATAATGATCATTAGTTTTGGTTTTAGGAAAATTCCCCCTTTCGTGATAATTTTTTAGGTTTTTTTTGCAAAAGGAAGAGTGCATCAGAGCTGCCCGCTGATGACTCACTGATCGGGAATGAAAAAGAAGAATACCAATGTCTTTCCTGATGGGAATTACCATGAATTATTCGATATTTTGGACAAATTATTCATGTTCGTCGAATGCTGATCCGTTTGTAGATAACTGATGCGTTGATGTCCGTTTGCTGTACTTATTATGCCCTGTGTTTCAGAGAATACCCTAACCACATTATATAGCGTCATCTGTACCAGAGTGCAAAATATCCATGTTCCATTATGTGGTAGCTATGGCAACAGCCAAACTCCATATTTGCTTCGTTTCTTGTCATATGTCATGTCCGATTCAGTTTCGCAGAATCACAAGTCCTGGTCCTGCAAGGGCACAGGACTTTCGGTTTCCAAAGTTTGCCACTTTAAATTATTCTCTCTGAAGATAACATCCTGTGTGTGTCATGCAGATAGTGGAATAGCTTGCAAGAAATCCCAGTAACCATTCTCGGCGTATTGCAGTGACAGGTTTGTGCTCGCGGAATGGCGCATGCGCACAGTCTCGGGAAATGCAAATTGTATGAGCCACAGATTATTAACGCATAGACTGCCAGGCCCTATTCAAAACTGCATGAGCACTATTCAAAACTGCGCGGCGCCCGACTAAAATCAAAACTATGGGCAAATTCATCTCTCGGTATAGGGATTTATACACAGTTGAAGAATTCTAGTCAAAATATTTTATGAAGATATTTTTCGATTGTATAAAAAAAATAACTTGTGTACTAAATATGATTTACGTAGATTAAAAAAAAACAATACGGTACCAAGATTTTCATGGAGATTTTGATCAGGGGCGTGATCCCGGTGGGGATGGGGTAAATTCCCCCCCCCCCCCACACTCTTGACCAGGGGAAGGGCTATTGAATCACCCCCCCCCCCCCCTTCGTGATGAGAACCACAAAATGCGGATTTCGAGGTATTTATCGAACTTCTCAACCACCAAAATAAATTTGATAGCACTAAATAATGGAGAAAAAAGTGCAAAAGCTTAAAATGCTGCGTTTTGATGTAAGCGCTTTGGTGTAAGTAAAGAGGTACATATGTATCATGAAAAGCGCCCCTTGTGTAATGTGGTCTCCAGCCTCCCCCCTGTCCCCTTTGGATTTCCACGGCCGGGCATTTTTTTTTTTTTTTGGTCATCCCCCATCCCCCCCCCCCCCCCCCCCTACTCGCCGTCACAGATTTACGCCACTGGGGGGATGCAAATGCCCCCAAAAGAAAACAAGTGCGAGTGCGCAATAAGCTCCGGCCGTTTTTTTGCATGAAATCTATCAAAATGATCCCTGCCAGAGCTGAAAATATGCGACGCCCAAAATGCGACGCCGATGGGCAATATGGAACACCATGCTTTAGATTTTTACCTAGATTTGTGATAAATACCACGTGACTACAAAATTACTGCACATGTTTTGCCTCCATTCAAAAACATCTTTCCGAATTGTTGCCAACAATTTTGTTAATTATTAATTTTTTTTTTTATTTTTTTTTTTGAAAATGAACATTTGGTATGGGGGCTTATTTTGGTCAATTTTCCGGGTAACAGACAGACCGACCGACCGACAAAGTGTGGGGTTTTTTTTGGGGGGGGAATAAATCATACAAGTTGACAATTTATCAAGAGAAAACAAAAATCGAATTTAGTTGAGGAGTGAGCACGCGGGGAACGCAACTTCAAGATTTAACTGCTTCGGACTGCACACCATGGATGAATACAAAGTGAAAACGACTGGCGTATTTATAGTAACATTTTAGGGTTTCAGTGTATCGACTGACAAATTTCAATTAATGGCAGTGAGATCAAGTGGTAATCGGTAATCAAGTGTATTTTTGGTTAATTGATTGCAACATGCGGACTTTTCCATCAGAGTTCAACTTAGATCGTGAGCCTCACATTGTCTTCGGGGTTTTATTAGTAACAAATTACTGGTTTTCATTCCAAGAGACCCACCAATTAATGTTTCGCATTTGTACAAAGTACGTCAACTGTAAAGAGTTGCGGTTTTGGACTTAGGGCTATATCTTTTTAGAGAGGTACAGCCTGTTCCTACTCAGCGCGAAAGCGAAGGCGAAAGCCATTTTGTGACGCCATGGGAAGTTTTTTCCGGCTGGAAAGTCAACCACATTTCAACTTCGACAAAGTTCGCAGCGAATGCTTCGTATATGAACTGGTGTTATGCCAAAAAATGTCCGGTGCCAAATAGTGTCCGCTGAGCATGCGCAATAGGCGCAGGACACTTTTTGGCAGGTTATTATACGTGCCAAATAGTGTCCAGTGATAAATATAATCCGAGCGCTGTCGATGTCATGCATTGTAGCACTTATTTCAGTCCGGTACTGTATTGCCAAAATACTCTCCGTTCTTACGCAAAATGATGCTAAAAAATGTGAGAGAAACTGTTATTTAGCAGAGGAATAATGCGTCTTGAGACGCACCGTTGGAAAGGCCTTTTTTCGTTGATTTCTTCAAAATGACAGCATGCCATAAAGAATAATTTCACAGGGAGTCAAGTTTCCTTACTATCTTTCAACCAAGTATGTTTTTCAACAATTATTACGTCAGTTACTTTTTGGACAGCTGCAAATGATGGACCCTAGCTTTAACTACTATCACGCTACGTACCTAGGCCTACACTCGCGTGCACGTGTTTCGAAAAAGGTGACCTGACGCAAAAACATAACGGTTTTAGCCAACGTGAGTTTAAATGACAGAAATATCAATTCAAAACAAACTCTACAATAAGCTTCCATCAACAATACGACGTCATAGGCGCATAGCATTTCAAATTGCAGTTTGCTATAATGAGCGGACACTACTCGGCACCAGACAGTTTTTAGCATGTCACCGGCCTTTAGGCTGCACCATAAGTTTCGATAAGTATTTTTTTTTCATCTTGGAAAGTTTCAAATCGTGTTGAGGTCCACGCCAACCGCAAGCTTTCGTCGACGCACGAACAAATTCTGACAGACAAACGAGAGGAAAAGTAAATTTGGGAAGTTATGCTGAAATCAGTTTTGGGTTATACGTATTATTACGTAAAGGCGGCATGATCAGTACGTGCAGCGCGGGATTTTGTTGACTGTACCCCCAACTGCCCGCGTGACATTGAGCACCGGCAGTTTTACCCGGGAACTACTCGTACATCCTGATATTCTCGATAAGCTGGCTAAGCCGAAGAATCAAGTTTCAAATTGATGAACAAAAATCTCGATCTAGTTTCATGACGAAAGTGAAATGTATGAAATCAATATCATTAATTTATAAAGAGGCCTATTTCTGTCTCACGCCTTTGTAAAAACTGTCACCAGTTTGCGTTGAACTCCTTGCTGCGAGACGTACCATCGCGCGATGACAAATGTATTACATCATTCCCGTCATAGAATGAGTCAACAGTAACCTTAGACAATGGACATTTTGGACCACGGCTTCTGTCATTGTAAATATTTAGTTCAGATTTATTGTAAATAATGATTAAAGGGAATGTACAACATTTGCTTTTGCTGGAATTTTCAGAAACAAATGGATTTGGAGGATTAGTATGTTAAAGAAAACATTGTTAAACTGACTTTTTTCTCGTTTTGGACTTGTAGATTGTGGAAAAACCAAGAAAACCTATCATGTTCTTGGAGTCTGGTTCCCTGACCCCACTTAAGATGAAACGGAGCAATTAATTCACTTTGGGGAATTGTAAGGTCAGAGAATCAGCCTAGCAGGCTTGTACCCCTTCATAGGTGTGTAATCAATTGCAAAGAAAAGTCAGAATAACTAAATATGAAAAATTAGGAACAGTTGTTGGGAAAAAAGCCAGTTTTCTCCAACGCTGGTCGGCCGACCAGCGTTGGAAAAATACAGTTTTTCTTCAAAATGTCAGCACACCAGGAGCCACGATTTTAAAGGATGCTTTAGAATGACAGTCCCTAACAATTCAGTAAGGTATTTCGTGATAATTTGATCATTTCGTTTTTTGATGTTTGCAAATGTTGTATTTTCCCTTTAAGCTTTGCAGTCTGTATATTCAATTTGCAGTTGCGGATCTACGCAGTGCAGTGGCGCACCCAGGATTTGGCTGAGGGAGGGGGGGGGGTTCACAATTGTTATTCTTTTTTTGGGGGGGGGAATTATGAATTAAAAAAAAATGTTCCCCAACTTTTTGGGCGCGGAAAAAAATTGGGGTTCTGGGAATTTTTTTTTTGGGGGGGGGGGGACGGACTATATTGACGTTGGTGGCACCATTTCTTGGTTCTTGGTTGGTTCATCATGATACTCCGCGTGGGAGTTTATACTGGAGACCAGAAACCCGGGGGCAAACCCCTTCTCTAAGCGATAAGTGTTACTGGGTTCTTTTACGTGCATTGGATTACACAACACACGTGACCTACGGCTTTACGTCCCATCCGAAGGACGAAGCAATAATGGTTAAGTGCCTTGCTCAAGGGCACAAATTAGTGGCCACCCGGCGAGCTCGAACCCACGCCACTGTTGCCTCTGAACATGGGTCCTTGCTCTATGCTCTGAAACACCAGAGCATGAGTCCGGCCACATAATCACCACGGTCAAATCGTGGGCCTAAAAAAAACCCTGACAACCTTTTTTGGCTCAAGCCCCCCCCCCTCCCCCCCCCCCCCCCCTCCCCCTTGGGTGCGGGAAAGTGGGCATGGGTGAGGCTAATGGGGTTTGACTTGACCCCCCCCCCCCCCCCGAGATCGTATAAAAGGAAACTCATGCAAGAATTAAAGAGCAATTGCCTGCTTCTTCCCCCCCCTCTTCCTCTCCCCTCCCCTAGCAGCTCAACGCCCCCCCCCTCCCATGGTATATGACCTGGACCCGCCCCTGGTTAGGTATAGACAATGAACACGCTTATTGTATGCTTGCGGATATTTAGTTGGAGCGTTTCCTTTCCACACGGTAAGGACTTTCCCCTGAGTGACATCCGAATCCTGCACAGGCACTTACTGCGCTCACTACCGGAAACCTGGTGTCTGGCTGGTGTGGTGGATTTCGAAGCTGAGTGGAATCGGTCAATTTTGCGATTATGTCATCGATATATTTATATTAAACTTTATATTAATATACTTGAACGCTACAACTGAAACACGCGAAAAAAAAAATTTTTTAATTATCAAAGTTTATTCATGTTGTTTTGCTAAAGCAACAAATTATCCACTTTAAGCAGACAAACAATTAAATAAAAAAGGTTATTACTTACAAAATTGTAGTGTTTGAGTTTTTTTTAAATTTTTTTTCTGGCTTCATCAGTAATTGGAAAAAATATTCTCAAGGCATCCCGTACATATAATGTAAAACAGCAAAATACTTAAAATAAGAAACAAAATTAAAATTTTAATTTTATAATTGAGTATTACCAAACTAAAACCATGGCACATACAAGAAAGCATCCCAAAAAAATGCAATAAATTCAAAAAACAATAAACGAAATAACTGAAAGAAGAATCAATATAAGAATTGTATCACGTGACAAAGCGACGTGAATTTAATTATTTTGTGCTGTTCGAAACATTTCTTTTTATTACTAAAACATGTTTCGAACGGCACGGAATAATGGAATTAAGGTAAAAATAGAAAGGAACAAAGATTACCTTCGAAAGTTTTGATAACATGAATATTGATGGAAACATTGTGGGAAAAAAAACGCTGATAATTTTGTCACCAAATTCGTGGATTAAATACAGATTATGTTTTCTCCACTATCATTCATTTTAAAAGTGCCAGACAGAAGTACAAATAAATAGCAGTTTATTGATTATTCACCTTAGCCAAAAAAAAATAATCGACACTGACCGTCAATTGATATTTGGTTGGTATATTTTACAACCCCGGTGTCAAGCTATGGAAAGGCTTATTTTTCGGAGTTTTAATTCGCGGTCTTCCAACCAACGCTGATACCAAATTCCCGGACAAGACCGATACAAATCTGGAATTCCCCTAGACCTCTTTAAACCAATCACAGCTCACTGCTAAAAATAGCTTCTCCACAGAAAAACAATACCCGATAAGATTATGACCACGTGCTGCCATTAATATTTTCCCTATTTTTTTTTTAAATCACATGAAATTGTAACGTAGGCCTATTTATTTCTATTAAGTGAGTGGGTGTGTGGACATCCCCGCCACTAGTTTTGTGGCGGATCTACAAAAAGCAGAAACTTTATATAAATGGCTTCTTGGACACACCAAAATCAACATTCGGCATCTGCACCTTCGAGCTTCAAGCATCAAACCTACAGCTCCAGACCAGTCTATACCAATCGCTCCGCCAATAACACTGTGTACTGTAATAACACTGATTTCAGCAGATTTTATACTCGAGTCTTCGCGCCCGATGGAGTCCGCAATGGTAAGTTCTCGTATATTTGTTTGAGCCAAAAAAAAAAGCAGCGTAACGAGAAGCGTTGATAGCGAACCTGCATGCGTTGTATACTGTGTACATGATACATCACTGGCTATAGAAACAACCCGATCATTGTAATTAGTTTCACAGAGAGTAATCGAAAGCACCGAAGCAATCTACAAGGCTAAATTGTCTCTTTGCGTTTGAATACAAATGATACATCAGAGTAGAAATTTGAAAAAGTTTTTCTTTGACAGTCATCAGTCTTCGTAACACAACAGCAGTTGTTATCCAAAAAGTCAGGCTACAAAATCAAATGATCGTGTTCACCATGTCAATGTTGACGCCATGTTCATCCACTGAAGAGTATGAATGAATACATGTTACTCAAAATAATTATTGACAATAAGTATTCCTTTAATTTACTTTCATTCAGGCGTTTCTTGCTTCGTGTGTTTTCACCGTCCTCCTCTCGGTATCATTGACGGGAGGCAGCGTCATCCCTCAACTGGGAGACAATGCTGCCGACATCGACAACACCGGCCTACTTATGCGGCTCCTAGACGCCGTAAGACTCCCCAGCGCCTCAGACAATTCATCAAGCGACACAGACACCGTGTTGGTGCTTGACGCGGGCCAGGGCGAGGCTGGGCAACGGGGCAGTAGGAGCTCTGCCCCCGGGGACATCAATCTGAGCGACGCGCCGGCCGCCTTTGCACTCGCGGAAGATCTCAGCGGAGCCCAGTTGGCGGAGATTCTGCAAGGGCTGCTGGACGACTCGACCGCACCGGCCGGTTCCGTACCGGTCAGTTTGAGATGCTCCGGGCAGCCGATTGCCGCTAGCACCCCGACGACACACTCCGAATATACGTCGGAGACGTGTCACCAAGGACTGATCCCTACTGTAAACAACTCAAAAGTCAATACTCGGGGTCTCTGCCCGTGGACATACGTGGAGCACGTCGATATTGACAGGTAAGTACCATGCTTTGGAGAAGAAACCTGCAGAAGGTTTGCCATAGTCTTGGTTGCAAAACCTTCGTGTTTTTTTTCTTCTCAAAACTTCAGTCGATCCTCCACTGTATTGGATTCTAAGTGCTTTATTTCACTCGATTCATTGCTTGGAAAGGAATCGATTCCATCGTGTCTTTTACTCGATTCTTATAGAGTAAGGGTCAAGAAGTGGACAGCCACCAAATTGTGCTCTCTGTCAACGACAAAAGATGGTAACGTTTCGATCAATGTTCTACGATCGTCTTCATGAGATATAAACCGGCTTGTCAATAGCGATATATTATTTACGGAAAAGGCATGGAATTTCGCAATTTCCTCTATTAGTTCTATCCACTGAAACCTGATCGGCTGTGTTTCAACATCCGGAGTTGGAAATCAGGTGCTGTTGTTCCAAGAATAAGGAACACCAAAATGATCTTACTGACCCTGTGTTGAATTTCTCCTATAATCTGTTATTTTTTCTTCTTTCATCCGACAGATACCCTAGCACGATGCTGTACGCCCAGTGCGCATGTCCAGACTGCGTCAGGCAAAGCGTCTCGGATGACTTTGGTTGTCACCCAATTTACAACGATGTCAAAGTGCTCCGTAAGCACGCTTGCCAAGACGGGATCCAAATGTGAGTACCAATGAAAACTGGGCAATGAAGTAGCGCCCTCGTTTGGTGAAGAAGAACCTCAGCCGATGGCTACATGTAGTCACTTTTGCATAAATTTGGGGTCCACTTTTTTCCCCGTCACTGTCTGTGATTTCATAATTCTGATGCACTCCTTAATGCAGTCTTCCTACAAGAGTGATTATTAATGGCAACTACAAGTCATGTACCTACCAAACAAATAAAAAAACCGTTTGAAGTTATTGTTCAATATTCTTAATGAAACTTATGGCAAATTGAAGCACCATTATTCATGATATTAGGTACCGTGTCATACCTTGGACCCCAAATTTATAGAAAGACTCGTGCACGAAACTCTAGTGGATTTAGTTCAAATTGCCTTCTAAAACCACCTCACAATACATCGCAGCGATTCCTAATTAGCCAAGTCTCAAAAGGGATGCTTGAAATAATTAAATTAAATTAAATAACCAAACTTCGTTTTCCCCCCAGATACGACTCAGTTTACGAGAGAGTACCCGTAGCCTGTGCGTGCCTCAGAACTCTAGAGTAGAAGAAAGGAGACTGGTGAACATCTAGAACGCCCTCTGCTGGTAACAATTGCAATATAGCAGGCAATAATTGCAATACAGTACTGAAACAACCATGAGCTTGACATAGCATAATATATACTTGTATATAACATAATCGCTTAATATAGCATATTTATATACTTTTGGTACTATTTATTTATTCACATGCGCAATAGTTGATGTTAAGTGAAATAATATGTCCAATGCAATAACACCACGATTCAATGCATATTGGTGCAACGATATTTAAGATATATATAATATATTTATATAATTTATTGATCACGCTATTTATTGGTGCTATCGATGCATTCCAACTGATATTTATTAGATCATGTGAAATTTCGTTTGATATTTATAAGCTTGCCTGGATATTTATATGGTTTTATAGGCAACGTAAGCTTGTTTACGTTCATAATTTATCTTGATTCGTTTTGATGAATTGCTTTGTGTAGAAATTTGAAAACCCGTACAGCTGCATTTGACAGTTACATAAGTAGCACATATTGTGCTCAATATACTGGTTTGTATAACCAATATGAATACTGTGTATACATTTTTAAAATATTTATTTTCTTTTCTTGTTATGAAACCAAGAATTCCTCAAAAGTGCCCTAGGCACCTGTAAGGAGGAGACAATGAGAAGAAAGTTAAGGTGGGAGGAAAACACCCAGAAGAATTTTCTGGGTAAAACCCAAGGAATCAAGGTGGGACGGAAAAACCCATTCCACAAGTGGTCCGGGTAGGAATCGAACCCGGGCCATTGCAGAGGAAAGTAACCGCTGCGCCAACCTGATTCCCTAATATTGTGTAAGTTAGAGGTAACTTTTTAAAGGATGCACATTGCAGGTGTTATGCTTTCACCAAGATTTGCGATTAAGGCATGTTGGACCATATTTCATGATTGTCTATCTTTCTGCCAGGAAGATAATTTGCAGACCGTGCTTGCTTAATCTGTGTACATGTATAAAGATTTTTGTCCTCCGGACTTATTTCCAAACGATAGTGTTAGCGCTGTAGTGCGCCCTCCCACGACACAACTATCGTGCCGATAAAATTATTGATAATAGTATTGCAGTCGAATGCGAGGGCGCACTACAAGCAACGCTATTATGTCCGGGTGCTCAGGTATGTTTTCGTTGTTGTCAAATTAGATTAAGCATTGACCAAAAAGGAAAAAACTGCCACAAAAGGGACAAAGATGTTACAATTATAAAAGGCCAGCTTTCAGTTGTTAATCACGTTAAATATTTATTGCATTAATATCTATTAGATTATATTGGATTACTATTTATTAGATTATATTTTAATATTTATTCGATCAACAGATTCGCAAGCTTTAACTGCTTTTGGCAGTAGATATACTCAGAACATGATAGTATTTATTTACTTATCAGTATAAGTTTGTAATGCATTATTATATCGTTCAAAATCATTAAATTTGTTTTTTTGCATATTTTACTGAAATGATAAGTGCGTGATTGCTGTCAATTTTAATAAGTTAACTTTGACACAAGGCCGAAGAATTCCACAGAAAGAATGGTTTTTCTCTTATTCGACAATGGTAATCTTTCCTTTTTTCCCCCAATCTTCGCACAAACAAATTAGAACATTGACACACTCGGTGTCAGGATTGTGTTCCAAAGTAATCTATCTATTCGGTCAACTCGAACTTCAAAACTCGTTTTGGTGACATGTAGGTTACTTCAAAATGTTAAGGACAAAGTGGTTTGTACAGGAAAACAATTGTGCCTTGAACAAACATTATGGGCGGCCAAAAGGGCCAAAATTTATAAGATGTAAAACAGAAGCATTAAGAAGCATACAATAAACAAACACAAGAATTAAGGAACTAATTTATGAAAAGACAAAGTCGGAAATAAACTAAGGACAAAACTACAATTTACAAACAACTCAAACAAAACAAAAAGAAAGACAAACTCACTCAAACAATTAAGGGCAACATTTTCAATCAAAGGACACATCTAAGAAAAAGAACATACCAAAACAAAAGACAAAATGAAAGTCAATGAAAAGATTTACCAAAGAAGACACAAACTGGAGCAAAGGACAAAACAACAGAAAAACTCTTCTTCTTTTTCAAACAGACATAAAAGCCAAAATCAAACAAAGAATGATCACTACACAAAGTTCATTCAACTTGATCAAAACGAACGTCTCACATGCAAAGGACGAAATACGGGGCAGTTAAAAGAACAACCAAAGGACTACAATGCTTTTTACCGCCGGCCGTACCGACAAAGTTTGAAAAGGACATCATCGCACACTTGAGAAGGTCGTTTCAGGAAACCAAAGAACAAACTTAATAATCTAACTATTATTGAACGATGAGGGCGAAGATGTCAAGGCCGTATTGCAATTGCTCTCCACTGGATTATCTCGTTGCCAATCGAATGTGGTATTAAACTGTACACATATAAAGTTGGACTCTACCAAACCCTTGTGCTGAAGTTTGGCTGGATGGGAATCGACGGTTAGGGTTTCAAACATGAACTGGACGAACTACACCAAATGAAGATGTAATCACCGTCGGTACCAACGGCAAAGCTGCCGGGGCTAATGGCATTCCAATGGAATGATCCGAGCCGGCAGTGCAGTGAGAGGCTGTTGGATGCACTTTATGAGTTCTTCACCCACTGTTGGGTTTGCAACCGGCTTCCACAACAGTTCCGTGACGCGATCGGGGCCGTATCATAAGTCTGACGCCTCATAGGTCATTTCAGACTTTTGAGGCGTCGGACTCATGAGGCATACAATTTATTTATTCCGCCTCATAGGTCCGACGCCTTATAAGTCCGACGCCTCATAAGTCCGACCTCGGAAAAACGAGGCGTTGAATTTGTCGGACATACGAGGCAAGAGACTTATGAGGCTTCGGACTTATGAGGCGTCGGACCTATGAGGCATCGGACTTATGGGCCTTTATTTGGTTAGGGGATGCGATATTGTCGGACTTATGAGGCGTCGGACCTTTGAGGTGTCGGACTTATGAGCGGACCCCACGCGATCATTGTCACTATTTTCAAGCGGAAGGGCGACCGACGCGACTGTGGAATATTACCGCGGATGTCCATCCCTAAGGCAAGCTTCTGTTAGTACGCCTTAAGCCAATCGTTGAGGATATTTTGCCAGAATCACAATGTGGCTTGCTGGCCGTAGCATCATCGATCCTTGTGCTGTTTGTCGACTTCACAAAAGCATTTGACACTGTTACTCGAGATGGCCTATGGCGCCTCAGTTCGTCTAGATTTGGGATCCCTCTAAATTAATCACTCTCCTTCGCCAGTTCCATGACGGCATGTTCGCCCACGTTCGCTCAAGCGTCCTTTGGCACCTACTCCTCTTCACAATCGCATAACCTCGCCACATGGCTGAATCACGGGCTGATTCAGCCACGGAGAAGCCCGGCGCGATTCAGCACCGCGATTCGGCCCGTCTAGGGGAATTGGGTGGGTGGGTTCCCCGAAGCACACGGCTATTTTTTTCCCATTCGTGCTGAATGGTGCCCTGCTGATATCCTTCGCCCTCGTGCGCACGGGACGAAAGCAACATTTTAAAGGTTTTTTTTTATTCTGTGCCGCCAATAACCCATTTAGCTCAGTAAGTAGTACCTATGATGATTTTAGGGGCTTTTTCAAATAAAAAAAGCAACAAATCCTGGACAAATTGAGAAAAAAATGACCCGAATATTTGGACCCCTATACATTTTCAATGGACCGCTTTCGCTTCTTGCCGCCAGGCCCATTTATGCGCATGCGTGCATAATTATGAATTTATTAGTAAAAAGGTTCATTGTCCTCTAGTACTCCCTGGCGGAACTGATAGCGTATTTGGGCTGGTTTGTTCAAGGCAGGATTCTTTTCCTGTACAAACCATTTTGCCCTTTCCAATTTGGAGTTCAGGTCACCAAAACGTCTTTTGAAGTTCGAGTTGATGGAATTGAACAGATGACTTTGAAACACAAATTTAACTGACTTCGAATGTCTCAGTGTTCCAATTTTATTGTGATGGTTGAAACTAAGAGATCACCATTGTCACATCAGGGAAAAAACTCTTTTTAGGTAAAATAATTCGGCTCTGTGTCAAAGATAACGTACACAAATTGGCGACAAGCAAGCACTTATCATTTCAGTAATATAATGCAAACACCAATTTAATATTTTGAACGATATAATATTTGATTATAAACTTAAATTACTGATAAATAAATAAATATTATGATGTTCTGAGTATATCTATTGCCAAAATCATTTAAAGATTGCGAATCTATTAATCAAATGAATATTAACAATAATGTAATAAATATTAATTAAATAAATAGTTTAAACGATTAACAACTGAAAGCTGGTCTTTGATATTTGTAACATCTTTGTCTCTTTTGTGGCAGTTTTTCCTTATTTGTTAATGCCTAATCTATTTTGATAACAACGAAAACATACTTGTGAGCACCCGGATATAAGTAATATTGTCAGTGATCCGTGGTGGATGACTTGAGCGTTGCTTGCAGAGCGCCCTCACATTCGACTGCAATATATGGTCCAAAATAATAGTAAATCTTGGCGAAAGCATAACACCTGTAATGTGCATCCTTTAAAAGGTTACCTCTAACTTACACAAAATTAGGGAGTCAGGTTGGCGCAGCGGTTACTTTCCTCGCCTTCCACCGCAAAGGCCCGGGTCCTACCCGGATCAAATGTGGATTGGGGTTTTTTATTCCCAATTTGAATCCGTAGGTTTTACCCAGAATATTCTTCTGGGGTTTTCCTCCCACCTTTAATTTTTTCTCATTGTCTCCTGTCTACAGGTTTCTCCAGCCTGCTTTCGAGCTACAGTGCCTAGGGCACTTTTGAGGAATTCTCTATTTTCAGAAAATATTCAAAAAATATATATATACAATGTATTCAAAGTAAGTTTTACAAACCAGTATATTGAGCACAATATGTGTTACTAATGTAACTGTCAAACTGCAGCTGTACGGGTTTTCAAATCTCTATTCAAAGTAATTCATCAAAACGAATCGAAATAAATTATGAACGTAAACAAGCTCACGTTGCTATAAAACCATATAATATCCAAACAAACTTATCAATATTACACGACATTTGTAATGATCGAATAAATATCAGTCGGAATGCATAGATAGCACCAATAAATGGCATGATCAATAAATTATATAAATATATTATTTATGTCTTAAATATCTTTGTACAAATGTGCATTGAAACGTGGTGTTATTGCATTGGACATATAATTTCACTTAACATCAACTATTGTGCATGTCAATAAATAAATAGTAGCAAAAGTATATGATTATGTTATATTCACTGACTATGTTACATATAAATAAATATATGCTATATTCAAGTTATATTCAATTTGCACAGTCAAAGCACTTCAAAGTCTAGCTCATGGTCACTTCAGTTGTGTAATGCAATTATTATTGCCTGCTATATTGTAGCTGTTAACAACAGAGGGCGTTCTAGATGTTAACCAGTCCTGCGGTCTCCGTTCTACTACTCCAGAGCTCTGAGGCAAGCACAGGC